GGCCTAAAGCCGGCTCCGCCATTTTTAAAAGCCGGCTAGTGCGAACCCCGTGCCGCGCGGCTACACGCGGCACGGGCTAGATAGTTAGAACTACGTAGTTATTCCGAACTATCTGTACGCCTCGTGGAACGAGGTGTACAGATCGATCGGAATGGCTAAGTAGTTCGAACTATCTAGCCCGTGCCGCGTGTAGTCGCGCGGCACGGGGTTCGCACTAGCCGACTTTTAAAAATGGCGGAGTCGGCTTTATGCTAATGAAGCCCGGGAAATTCAAATCCCGGGCTTCATTAGCAAGTTCGGTATGCATACATTACCCCGCTAGTTCGAACTAGCGGGGTAGTGTAGACATACCCTAAGTTAGTTTGAATTAGTGCTGTAGTGTAGACATACCCTAAAGAATCAGTCCTGTTACACACCATACATTTGTCATTGCCTAAGTTTCAAGTGCTTCACTTTGCGGTCTAAATAATTTTCTTTTAATATATTGTTTTGTTTGTACTCCTTTAGTTTTTTAATTAAATGAGAAATGTAAAATCAAGTTTACTTTAGCCACTCCTACATCTTCCTTCATCATGAATCATCAGCAGGGTCTGAACCCCAAACCTTGAACACTATTACTTCTTCAAGTACCAGATTAACGACATTGGCTAGCAACCAGAGGAGGTGGGTTGCTGGAGCTACGAGATTGGTGGGGGGAAAAGCCAATTCTCTCTCCTGAACCCAGCAGCTGGGGTGCTCCTGCCCATTTGTTACCCCAGAGGGATGATTGGCTACCCCCATGTGGCAGATAAGGGAGTGGTTATTGGCCTATCTTTCTCTTCCCCTTGCTCCCAGCATGGGAGGTGGGAGAGTTCCTGTTCCATGTGATTCCTCCTAGGATGGGGATGTGTGATAAATAGGCTAATGGTTTATAAGCAGAGACACCTTCTTCGGCTCAGCTCATTCATTCCCACCTCTTACTGAGAACTCGGTGAGTGCCTTGGTACAGTGTGTGATGGTATTATAGGTTGGGCTGGGGATAGGGATTTAAAATCCTGTTTAATTTGTTAACTGGTTAAACATTAAGTCTAACTGGTTAACTGATTAAATGGGGGTGGGCGGGCTGTGGCTGGGCTGGAGTGGCTCTAGCCTGAGGCAGGCCCCTTAGGCTGGAGCAGCCTTGTGCCCTTATCGGTTAACTGATTAATCATTCACATCCCTAGCTGAGAAATGGATAGTGAGTTTTTGGCAGGCTTCCAGATTTCCTTTCCCCCCTCTCCCCGCTGCCTTTGTATCAGAGATAGCAAAGGGGGTGAAGCAGGTGCTTGAGCTGGGGAGTGCCTCCTGCCTCCACCCACCATGCTGCCGCCTATCAGAGACAGCAGCACAGGCCAGGGCAGGGGAGGCTGCAGTGAAGCAGTCCCTGTCTGCGGAGGGCCTGAGCTCCCCCACGGACAGGTACTGCTGATGGACCAGCTTCTGTCTGCGGCCAGCCCTGGCCGCTGCGGACTCAGGCTGCTTCACAGCAGCAGGCCCTCCCCCTGCAGCAGCTTCTGTCTGCGGGAAGCTTGGACATCTGTGAATAGGGTCTGCTGCAGCCAGTCTATGGGGGGAGCTGGTTTTTAAACTGGCTCGTCTTGTCGACCCAGCCTGGCACCCTGGGCTGTTGTCTCTGATACTGAGGCAACAGCACGGAGTGGGAGGGGGCTCCCCAGGAGTGGGGCCAGAGTGGACTGGCTGCGGGACCCACCCTCAGGGGCTATAGAATATTTGTGTAATCAATAAGAATTCATGCGGTTACACGACTATTCAGTTACCCGATATCTAACATCCCTCCTGTGAATAGAATAGAGTGAGTAAGGGCAACAATCAGTAAAGCGAAGATCTGTCCTGGGGAACGTGTGGGAGGGTAATGGTGATTTTTAACACTTCATATCTCAGCCAAATCTGAATAAAATCTCATGGGACAAAAAAGGCACTCTGTATCCAAGGGGAAACCCCGACCGAATATCCAGGCTTGCTACAAACAGTAGAGCTGTGAGAGCTTTTCAAAGAAAAAAAAAATATAAGGAACCTTTTTAATGGAAAGTATTAGGCAACTTTTATGTAGGCATTGCTGTCACCTTCTTCTGTGAGAATATGTCCCAACTATTGTATTTTGCTCATTTGCACCAAAATGGTGCAGTGGACATGGTTGCAATGAGGTTGTGTCCTTGATGCTATAAATTATAGTTTATGCTTGTGTTGGCTTCAGTTCCCATTGCCTTAATTCACTTCCTCTACTTTATCCTACTATTTTTCTAAACATAATTAATCTGAGACTGGAATTTAGTCTCATGAAAAATATAATGCTACGTCTTCCTTCTGAAGTCACTGGGAATACTCATGTGAGTAAAGCTGCATACTTCGTTTTAGACTCAGCCCCAAGTGTATTGGATTGTCACATTACATAATCGCTGAGCAACTTGTCAAAACATTCCCAGGAACTGCATGAAATATGCATTGTATAATACATTAGAAATGTTACATTTGTGACCCCTTTGGATAGCTATATTTTGGTCCTAAAATATTAGATTCATTAAAAAAATCCTTTTTATAGCACATTCTTTGCTAGCACAAATTAAAAGTTAGGCAAAGGTTTATAACTGTACTGCATTGTAGAAATCTAAATGACTGACCCAGTATTTTTTCAGTGTAGATTTAGACTGTGGATTCTCCATTCCTGCCACTAGTCATGAAACAGTATACTGGAGTTTTTCAGTCACCCAGAAAGGGTTTCACCCAGGATTTATGCTGATTACAATATATTTCCCCATGTTGTAGAATTTTATGTCCATTGAAACCTGCCCAGTTACACCCTCCATTCAAGTTTGCACTCCTCTGCTTCTGCCCTCCACCCCATATACTGAGAGTGTAATCTGAATGGGAGTGATAACCTCAATGTTAGTTCTAAACTTACTGAACAAATGGCCTAGCAAATCTTTTGGTGGGATGAAGTGCTTTTGGTTTGTTCCGGAAGACCCCCTGATCTTAGGTAAAAGCTATCCTCTTGCTCCAAGTTTTTTTGCCTTTGGTTAATCCTTTCCCTGTAGAAATGTGTGGTTTTTATTTTAGAAATTTTAATTCTGTGTTTCCCCGACCCCAAATAATTAAATCGATACATTGCAGCTACAGTCTGATTTTGCTTCATCTCATGTGGCTGACTATTGCTAAGAGATGGTTTTATGGCTGTTTCTCTGCAGGCAAGATTGAAGAAGAAGCTGTTAAAAAATATGCTTATCTCAACATTGTTGGGATGGTTGGATCCATAGATAATGACTTCTGTGGCACTGATATGACGATTGGTACTGACTCGGCCTTGCACAGAATCATTGAAGTCGTGGATGCTATTATGACCACTGCTCAAAGGTAACAGGATCTATGAGGGGATACTTGAGATTTTAAAATTACAGGTAGATATTAAGTTTCCCAGAGTGCTAAAATCATTTTTATGGCTTAGGTGAATACTTAATGCATATGAACTAATGCAGTCTAAAATTCTTAGATTTCGTAGACCCATTACTGCATTGCTAGCAAAAGTTAAACCCTTATCTCTTGATTTGCTTTGTGTTTGTGGGAGGGAATTAGGGTGACGACGGTCTGACAGATGGAGCACAGAAGGACTGGGAGCATTTTGTATCTGTGTTTTGTAAATGTAATCCTATTATTTTGTTAACTGGATTGAATTGTGGAAATGTATGTTTGTATATTTTATTTTTATTGTGACTTCCTAATTCATATATGGATGATGATGATGATAATAATAATGAAAGAAAGAGTCTTATAACTTTGGGGAGAATGCAATGTAATCTGGGTGATGATTGTCCGATGGTGATCTCCATCCTAAAATGCAGCAATACCTTATTTCATCCTGGGATTTTCACGATCACAGGATACCAGTCAGGCAGCACTCTGTTCCAAAATCAGTGGAGCTATGAGATCAGAACAGATGTCTGTCCATAAGGGAAAGCAATGACTATGCAAGCATGAGCAAGAGTTAAACTCAGATCTCCAGAGGCAAAAAATGGATACGTTGATCCAGTTTCCATTTGTCTATCACCTTACTATATTCATCATCACAAACTTTAAGAGTGAAAGTCCCTCTTATACAGAGCAGCATAAGCCCCCCTGTGCACTAGTTACTTCCCTCGTCAGCATGGAGGACTCGTGGAGATGCTCTGCACAGGGATGTTATTCACCTTAAGGAAACTGGAACTCTGGAAAAGACTTTCCTGAACTTGTGAGAAAAGATACATAGTTACAGGTTAGCTATGTTGTCACTTTGCTATTTCTTGCATCATCAGACTTGTGCAATGGTATGTAAAATAACAGACAAGTTCCAGAAAGCAAAAGTATACAAAATTTAGCCAGAGAGTCATGTGCACTAAAGCTGGCCTTTTTTTTTTAAAGTATCTCATACTTATGCATTGATATTCAATGCCACTAAAATAGATTTGGGGGAAAAATTGATGCACTTCAGTTTTAAGCTTAATAAATAAAGAAATGACCATACTGGTTTTACAATGTCAGGTAATCAATATAATTATTAAAAGACTAAAGTCTTTGAAGTGACACTATGAATGAGGGATTAAATATTCTTTCACTTTTATTACTTATTTTTATGCAAATTTTCTCTTACAACAACCCCATTTTTTAGAACAGCACCACAATAAAATCTGGCTTGAATGTACAGTGGGTGAAAAATAATTAAAGAAGTATTTTTTGCCTTGAATTGTAACTTTAGACCACTTCTCCAGTCACTCCTTGTAGTCATCAGTCATTCTATATATTCCTTACTAACCACAGGCTGCATATATATAACATCTTCTGGCTGTGAAAAGTTTTAAAGAGGGTACAGCATTGAGTGCTCTAGGATTAGTTTCTCCCCTTCTGGGCTTACTAGGTTTTTCTTAGTGTCAGGGACTGACCACAACCCCTTTTGACTTCAATGTGATTTGGATTAGGTTTTTCAATAACAATAGTAGTGTTGATCTCTCTTGTTATTTTATAGCCATCAAAGGACCTTTGTCCTAGAAGTTATGGGAAGACACTGTGGGTATGTACTGTTTTCACCAGTTTGTGTCTAGTCAAATATAATTAAAAAAACTATAAGATTTGAACTTTAATTGTCTTATTTATATATCTTAATGTGTCTTACTAGGTATCTAGCTCTTGTTAGTGCATTAGCTTGTGGTGCAGATTGGGTATTTATTCCGGAATACCCCCCAGAAGAAGGATGGGAGGATCAGATGTGTGTTAAGCTTTGTGAGGTAATCTGTTTTGAATCTTGAACATTCTGTATTCCATGGGATGCTCGCATCTGAAAAGAGGTGCCTAGCAACAAATAATGTATGTCTGCATAGCAATGTTATTTTGGAATAACAACAGTTATTCCAAAATAACAGAGCGCAACTACATAACAAGCTATTATTTTGAAAAATAATGTAGAGATTCAGGACTTCTTTCTCTGACTCCTGTAACCCTCATTTTATGAGGAATAAGGGAAATCGGAGGAAGAGTGTTCTTTCTTCGACTTCCTGCTGTGTAGACAGCATCAAAAGCTGAATTAAGCTATTTTGACTTCAGCTACGCAGTTGACATGGCTGAAGTTGCATATCTTAATTTGACTTTTGTCCTGCTGTGCAGTCATACCCATACAGCCCAGTAGGATTTAATCACATTTTTGCTATTGATTTCAGTGATAGAATTATTTGGTCCTAAATGCCTCTATTCCTAGATACAAAATTGGTATCCACAGCCATACTGACATCTGCAAAAATAATTTGTGGATATCCGTATCCACAACTGTAGATATAAAGCAGATATCCACAAATTTGCAGGGTTCTAGATTAAAAATTTGCATCCGCATTTGTATCTGCAAAAACGAGCTGCAGATATCCACATCCACAGATATCAGTTGATGCAGAGACCTACAGATACAAGGTAGATACCTGCATATTTTCCAGACTCAATCCATGCATTCTCCAGATGTTTGGACCACAGGGAGATTTCCTCTAGGGCTGCAGTAGGTACCTCGAACATAGCCATAATGGATCTGTTTTCTGGTTTGTCTTCTTTATCCTTGGTATGTTATGTAGAACATTTCATTCTACCCCTGGAAACTTTTATATGTGTATTATTTCAAAGAGCTAAAAGCAGAATTATGTGAGTACTTTCAAATATGTAGTAATGCATGCTATTAGCATGCAAAATTTATACACTAAAAAAGTAAGTTAGTATTCTTATCTCTTTGAATTCACCCACTTAGGCAGCAGAACATTTTTAAAGGGAAACATTTTGAGTAATTAACTTGTTTGTTTGCTGATACCAGACACATATGAGGCAGATTAACTCTGAAATCTTGAAAGGAAAGATAAAACTGCTTCTGCCACAACAAGGCTTGCAAAATTTAAGAATGAAAAATACCAGCATTAGTATATTAATAGTAATAACAATCTAATTTCTGTTGGTCTTCTAGTGTATGTTTTACTTTTTGTGAAACTATTTGGGAGTGAAGGATCTCCAGGATATGGAACAATGTTGAGATTTATGCCCCGTACAGCACAGCACAGCACACTTTGACCACACTAAGTTAATAACAGGAAAATATAGTAGAATCTCAGAGTAACGAACTGACCAGTGAACGCATTGGAACTCAAAGTGTGTAATTAGGTAGCAGTAGGCAAAACAACAACAACATCAGTGCAATATTATGTTAAATGTAATCTACAAAATAAAAGGAAGAGTTAACAAGTTTGGCAAGGTAAAGAAACTGTTTCTTTGCTTGCTTCATTTAAATTAAGATGATTAAAAGCAGCATATTTCTTCTGCATAGTAAATTGTCAAAGTTGTATTAAGTTGATATTCAGCTATACACTTTTGAAAGAACAACCATAATGTTTTGTTCAGAGTTACAAACAACCTCCGTTTCTGAGGTGTTCCCATAACTCTGAGATCCGACTGTAGCTAGATGGCTTTCTTTCCTTTTTCATTGGATTAATTGAACTATAAATATTTTTGGTAAATTATTCAAAGGAAAAGATTCTAGTCACTGGTCTGTAATAAACACTAGTTTGTTTTCAAAACTCTTTTTGTAGTGGTGTATCTTGTTTCAGGCCCTTTTTCAATATCCAATGTTTTCTTCTCATAGAACCGTGCACGAAAAAAAAGGCTGAATATTATAATTGTGGCAGAAGGTGCCATTGATTGTCATAACGAAGCTATCACTTCAGAAAAGGTTAAGGATGTAAGTATCGAACCTCTTTATAGTTCCCTTTCTACTGTTAAAATTAGAATTTCCACAGGCATTCAGGTAAAATAGACTCTTAGGAGGAGCTGTTGCTAGTTGCCTTTTTATGCTTGTCCTTGATGGACTTAATTCAGAGTCCAATGAGGAAAATGAGAATCTTTCTGTTGGTTTCAATGGACTTTACATTGGAACATATTTCTTGTTATGTTAAAGGACAGTCAATGAAGTGCTGTTTTTACAGACTTGATACTTAGGACATCTGCTTCAATCTGTCTCAGAGAATTAATTATTATATGATGGTATTTGGAAAAATTAAGTTTCTTGGGGTTGTAATGATGCCCTTATCAAAATTTCTTTCTATATGTTAAAAAAAAAGTTTTCCTGCAGGACTACAGAGTGACGTCATCATGACACTCTGCATCCTGACTGCCTCCACCCTTTCTCCCTCCCTCCTCCCTCCATTGCCCAGTGCTTAGCTGTCGTGAGGGGACCCCAGGAGGCCCTAGAGCAGCCCCCTTCCCACCTCCCTGGTGCTCTGGAGCGGGGAGGGGGAGAGGAGGGCCGGGCCAAGCTGCAAGCCGCATTTACTCTCCTCTCCTCCCCTCCCTTCCCTGGTGCTCTGTGGGGAGGGGAGGAACAAAGCTGTGAGCCATGCAGCCCAAGAACAATGCAGCCTTTCCCCTTTCCGGTGGTCTGGGTAGCGGCTGAAGTCATGAGCTGCATGGCTGCAGGAGAAATTTGGCCTTTATCCTTCCCCTCCTCCCCAGTATTGGGGGGGGAGGGAGAAGCCACATGCCGCGTGGCCTATATGCTCCTTTCCTCCCTGTGCTCGAGGAATCCTCCCTCTCCCCCAGACCTCCCCATCTCTGGTGATCCAAAGAGGCGGGAGCTGTGCCCCTCACTGCACCCCAGTGCTCTCACATACCCCTAGTTCTGGGGTAGAACCAGGCCAGCTATGCCCTGGCCCCGCTCCTTGGCAGCCGGGGAGAGGGAAGGGGCTAGGAGGAAAAGAGCAGGGGTGGCCTTGGGGTTGGGGGTATAGAGGGGAAGAGCCAGGGCTGGTGGGTGGGGGGAAAGGGGCAGTGGGTACAAGAGCAAGATCTTGGGGTGAAAGAGCAGGGATGGGGGGGATAAGAGCTGGGGCAGCCTCGGTCTCTCCCTGGGGCAGAGGAGAGCTGTGACCTCGCTCCCCTTCTGCCCTGCAGCCAGAGGGATAGAGATGGGTCAGCCTCGGTCTGACGAAACACCCCTGTGGCTGGAGGAAGAGAGCTGGGCCTCGCCTCCACCCAGCCCAGCTTCCTTAGTGGCTGGGAGAAGGGATAGCTGGGGCTAGCCTCGGAGGTGCCTGGTGTCCAGAGGGAGAGTGCCGGGGCAGTCGAGGGCTGCCATGCCTCGAGTTGGCCTGCCTTGGTGGCCGGGGCTGGGGGAGCTGAAAGTGCCTACCCCCAGAGGTGTGTCTCCCCCTAGTACCAGTAAAGGAAACATTTGGGGAAATCACACCGAGGCTCAGGGTTAAATGAGAAATGAAAATGGTTGGAAATGACTCTTTTTGGAAACAGGTTTTGAAACACAACGATTGACAGGCTGGTGTGGGGAAACTTGAGCTGAAGATCCTATGCTTCACCGGTTCCCTCCATGGCTGTCAGTCTGGCACTTTTCAGGAGCACTCTCATAATGGAATAATCCTTGATTTATTAATACAGAATTGTAAAACTGCAAATTATTTCCACTGATTAGAGTGCTTTAGTAAAAGTGTGGGAAATAGTTGTTACTCATCTTGTTATTTACAGAGGAAAATACTACTTGCTTATTACCCAGACTTTGGCCTGCTAAAATTCCTAGGAAGCTGAAAATAACAGGAATGTGACTCTTGCGGAGAATGAGTGAGGTGTCCATACATCTCATTACCAGCCTTGTAGAAGAGGGGAAAATGGAGAGTACTTATTTCTGTTTGCTTACCTCCTCATCTTACATAGGTTGAACCTCTGAAAACCAGTACTCTCCAGTCTGGCAACATCTGTGGTCCAGCAGGACCATGAATGCTTCTGGACAGAGAGCCTGGGAGCCTAATGATAGGAGGCCAAGCAGCCCGGCTGGGAGCAGTGGGACTGGGAGTCCCCGCAAAAGTACCAGGGCCAGGCCGGACAACCCCAGCAGCATGGGGCTGGAGGAAGGAGAACCCTGACAGCCCGCAGTAGAGCCAGGGATACCTGGCTGCCCATGGCAACATGGGGCCAGGGAACCGCGGAAGCACAGGGCTGGGACCTGAAGAACCTGCAACACCCATGGCAGGCCAATGGCAGCAGGGCAGACAGCCTGGCTGGGCAGGGTGAGAGTGGGAGGGGGTGGGGAGAGGCAGTAGGGCGGGAATAGAGGGGGCCAAAGGCAGAGGGCCATGTGACTCGGGGCTGGTGGCAGGGAACACCTCCCCTGGTCTGGAAAAGTCTCATTCAGGACTGATCAGTTCTGACATTTCCAGACCAGGGAGGTCCAACCTGTACTGGAGCAGAGGCGGTTCTGACAAATGATCCTATTTTAATGAGCCTGAACTTGTACTTTACTGATGAATAAATGCACCAGAAAGAAAATGTAGTTAGAGGCAGGAAATTACTACATATGTTTTTCTTTTTTGTCTATTTATGTACTTTTTTTAGTTAAAATAAAATCATTCTCTGTGATCTTCCCTAATAAAAACATCAGGCTATTAAGCTGCACAAATTTTACTGTTACTGAGAGAGATAAAAATCAACATGTAATTTGGCAGAGCCCATCATTTCTGGAACAAATTGTTATACCTCCTTTTTGTTCATGGACATTAGCCAAAGACAGTGAATCAGAAAATCTGTGTAAGACTAAACGCCTCCACAGGGGGTGTAATTGCACAGTTACTCCAAGATATTTAGACTGTATCTTTATAAGATGGCTATAAAGAAACCCTATTGCAGTAGACTATTTTTTCCAGACTTCTAATTGTGATGTTTGACTTTTTTATAAGGACATCATATATTTTTTGTTTTTCTAAGTGGTCATTTGTTACTAAATGAATGGTATCAGTAGGCTTCTCTCTAATTAAAGCATTGTAGGCAAAACAACTTCTTTGCCATTATTAAATTGCACAATCCTTCCTTCAGAGTGGGAGTCTGGAGATTAGTATTCCTAACCTAGCTGTAAAGAGACTTAAGTAAATTCCTTAGGCCGTGTCCAGACTCAGGGGTTTTTTCGGGAAAAGTAGCCTTTTCCCGAAAAAACTTACCCTGCGTCCAGACTCAAGCCGCGTTCTTTCGAAATTATTTCGAAAGAACGCGGCTTTTCTTTCGATGGCGGTAAACCTTGTTTCACGAGGAAGAACGCCTTCTTTCGAAAGTTCCTCTTTCGAAAGAAGGCATTCTACAATGTAAAGAGGCTGTCTTCGAAAGAGAGCATCCAGACTCGCTGGGTGCTCTCTTTCGAAAAAGCGGATTGCTCTTTCGAAAGATCCGCCTGCAGTCTAGACGCGATCTTTCGAAACAGGCTCTTTCGAAAGATGCTTTCGAAAGAGCCTCTTTCGAAAGAAGCCTGCAGTCTAGACATAGCCTTAGTTGTGTCACCACTGTTGATGCTTACAGTATTCCCATTGTGTGCATTATGAAACTGCTGTAGTGATGCTGATACTTTCTATTTCTCACTTACACTTTGAAATTCTTTGCAGCTTGTGGTTCTGCAGCTGGGATTTGACACTCGTGTTACCATTCTGGGTCATGTTCAAAGAGGAGGCACTCCTTCAGCCTTTGATAGAATTTTGGTGAGTGAACCTCTGATGATGCCTGCAAACCCTGGAAGAGTGCATGGTGCAACAATAGCAGCAGCATGCTTCCACTTCTGCATACCTTTTCATTCAAACATTTTGAATTGTTTACAAAAACCCATTAATTCCCTCAGTTCTTTTGTAAAGTAACCAACTGTAATTATTGTCCCCAACTCAAGCAATAGAGAAGTAACGTGCTTTATCCAAAGGAGGTGTCAGCAATGTTTGGCATGCAGCCCATCAGAGTAATCTGCTGGTGGGAGGTGAGGCAGTTTGTTAGAGTGTTTGCAGGCACAGCCCCCTGCAATTCCCATGGCTGCAGTTCACCGTTCCCGGCCAATGGGAGTTGTGAGAAGCTGCACAGTTCTCAAGGGCATGCTAGCCGCAGTTTCCCACTGCTCCCATTGGCTGGGAAAGGCAAGCCATGGCCACTGGGAGCTGGGGAGAGTGTGTGTGCCTCCGAATGCTCAATGTAAACAACATATCTTGCAGCCCACCAGCAGATGGGCTGTGTGCCAGAGGTTGTTGACCCCTGATCCAAGGCTTCATAGAGAGACTGTCATAAAGCCAGATTTGCCTGTTAGTAACTCCTGGCACCTAACTCCTTGCTGGTTCCATTGCTGCTCTCTGTAGGAGGGCAGTTTAATCCACAATTTGACAATCACATCAAGTCCAAAATCATTCCACTGAAATCAATATTTATGCACATAAGTGCTTTCTAACTAGGGGCCATCTTCTAGTTCAGTGGTCTCCAACCTTTTTACGTCCAAGTTCACTTTTTAAAAGTCAGAACAAGCCAAGATCTACCGCCCCATCCTTCCCCTAAAACCCCACCCACGCCTTGACACCCCACCCTCTGTTCTCCTCCTCTCTATCACTTGCCATTCCCAGCCCTTATACACTCTCAGGGTTTGGCTACACTGCCACTTTTTTTTCCGATTCTGTCTAGACTGGGCCAAATGTCCGAAAAACTCCTTATTTTGGAAGCCCCCTTATTCCTCATGGAACGAGGAATACAGGGATTACCGAAAGAGCACGTTTGCTGTTCTGCTAAAAAAAAGCAGAAGAACAAATGCATCTCTGGTCACAGAACAGTTTTTCCAGGATACCTCTGGAATCCCGGAAAAACTCGTGCAGTCTAGCCATACCCTCATTGGGTTGAGACAGGATGTATGCGCTCTGGGGGAATGAGGGGTGTGGGTGTGGGAAGGGGGTGAGAGGTTCACGGTCTGGGAGGGAATTTTGATTCAGGAAGAGGTGGAGAAGGGGATGCTGGCTCAGGGAGAGGGCTCCAGGATAGGGAGTTTTGGGGTGAGGGGTACTGAGCAAGCCACATGCTTGTGGATGTGAGGGTGCAGGAGTTGGGTTGGAGTATGTGAGGGGCTCAGGGCAGGGAGGTTGTGAGTAAGATGGGCAGTGTATGGATGGTGCAGATTTGCAGGTGTGTGGATGGTGCAGGAGTGTTGTGGCAAAAGACTGAGGATGTGGGGCTGCAGAAGTTTGGGGATGTGAGACGCTCAGGATAGGGGGTTCCAGTGTATGATAGGCTCAGATCTAGGGTCCGGGGGTGGAGGGGTATACGAGTGTTATAATGCTGCCGCCAGATGGGGGCTTGGCCCCATTTGGGGATTTGTTGGCCAGGCTTCATTTTTAAATAAAATATTAGTCAAACACAAAAAGTTTCAGCATTGTCTTTATTTATGAGAAGGGCAGGGAATTTGTTTTGAGTCGGGGTTACTGACCCACAGAAAAGTCAGTTGGAGCCATACAAGTGAGATGCAAAACAATAACTCCTCCAACAACCTCCCTCTATTCTACGGGCTGGCGGAGTCTGTTCGTGCCACTACAGGGTGCAGCATGCGGGGGAACCACTATGCGCCACCACAGGCCCCAACTGTGGTGGTGGGAGCAAAGGACATGATACAGGGGAAGAGTGCTAATGGTGCTGGGGCAGAGGGCAGGGTGCCAGTGGGTTCTGCAGCAGGGGTCAGGGGACAGAGTGCAAGTGGGTTCTGCAGCAGGGGATGGGTCGGGGGACAGAGTGCCAGTGGGTTCTGTGGCAGGGGACAGGGTGCCAATGGGGACAAAGGTCAGGAGACAGGGTGCCAGTGGGTTCTGCTGCAGGGGACAGGGAAGCCCCAGCGTGTCTCCTCTGGGGACCCCTCCCCCCTGTAGAGGAGGGAAGCCCGGGTGTGCGCCTCTTCATGGGACTTCTAACCTCTCCTCCCCCTCCCCTGTGTGGAGAAAGGAAGCCCCGGCCTGCACCTCCTCTGGGGACTCCTACCTACTCCCATGCAGAGAGTACCCGGCACACCACAGACCTGCTTTGTGGTTCGGCGCCGGTTGTTTGGGGGAAGGGGAGCAGCTTGTGCACTTCCTCAAACCCTGGAAGTGGCGCGCTGCTGCTGGACTTCCAACCACCCCGCAGGAAGTTGGCACTACCTCCCCCATTGCTGGAGGTAGGTAGTGGCGCTTCTTCAGGGTGAGGGGAAATGGGGGGGTCCCGAACACCTCACAATTGACTGGTCAGGGCTTCCCGATCAACCAGTCAATCGTGATCGATGGGTTAGTGACCACGGTTCTAGTTTATTATTATAGACATCACTGTAAGTAGACCAAAATAACCTTGGAAGTTACACACAAATAGGGTATGTCTCCCCGCAGGAAGTTGGCACTACCTCCCCCATTGCTGGAGGTAGGTAGTGGCGCTTCTTCAGGGTGAGGGGAAATGGGGGGGTCCCGAACACCTCACAATTGACTGGTCAGGGCTTCCCGATCAACCAGTCAATCGTGATCGATGGGTTAGTGACCACGGTTCTAGTTTATTATTATAGACATCACTGTAAGTAGACCAAAATAACCTTGGAAGTTACACACAAATATGGATTAGTACATCAATATATAAAGTACCTAGAATTGGAGTGATATCGTGTAATGCCTTGTATCCACTAGAAAGTGTTTGCAGTTATAGCTATACCAGCACAGCCACGTGGACGTACTCGCCTAGCATAGACACAGTTTATATAGTAAAAAAAATTGTTTTAGCTAGTAGGGATGTGAATGTTTTTAACTGGTTAACTGATAAGCCTCACCATTAACAGGTGAGGCTTACTCATTCCAGTTAACCCATCGGGGCTGGAGCAGCTGTGGTTAGGGGGTTAGCTGCTCCAGCCCTGCAGGGCCTGCCACAGGCAGGGGGCACTCTAGTATATAAATGTCAGAAAAATAATCACATACCAAAGTAGTATTCCTTTATACTGTAGTTTATACTGTACATCTATTTTTAGACTGCTTCTGCTACTCATCCTTGCAGTGCTGTATATCAGTCACCAACTTAAATTAATGAAAGGTATAGTTTGTGGATTTGCAGAGAGCGTGCATGTATCCATGCAGAGTTACTGCTGATAGGTGTTGCACGTAGGGATCATATAAGTAGGTAGATAGATTTAAAAAAGAATAACCTTCTTTGTAATGTACTTAATAATCATATTTACTAGTAATCCTATTTCCTTTAGAAGAGCTCTGATCAAAACCTGGCTATACAGTGTTCTTTACAAGCCAGCTGTGAGAGTAGTCTTAACTTGTCTTTTGGGTCGCACTACAGTAAACATAACCAGCTGTGATCACAGTTATCAAGAAGTTTTAATAATGTAAAGAGAGATCTTGGGTACTTTTCTGTTTCTGTGGTGTTTCTGAGTGTCCCCCCAAACACACAGACATCTCTTTCTCTCTCTCTTTTTTATTTTCAGGCAAGCCGTATGGGTGTGGAAGCTGTACTGGCCCTTCTAGAGGCTACACCAGATACTCCTGCTTGTGTTGTGTCCTTGTCTGGGAACCAGGCTGTCCGTCTGCCTTTAATGGAGTGTGTGCAGATGGTGAGTTCCGGGAGAAGAGCCAATTTACACTTATTCATTAACTGTAGCGAAGTGTTCTAACAATCAATGGTCTGTTATTAGATATAACATGTGAATGGGACACTTAACTTGTGTTTAGTACTAATGACCTCTTATGTCTCTGCTGTGTATAATTACTATGCATTTGTGTTAGTGACAATCACTGTTAAATGCAGTCCAACAAAGAAATATTGCTGCTTTTTTCCAGATTTGGAAACCAGTATTGTTTTTCAGTTTCATCTGAATCTTTCATTTTGCACCCTGTCTCTTTGATTACAAAATCTCCATTATAGCCTGTTTGAATAAATCTGATTTCGTCCTCCAAAATTATTCAGCGTTTATCCCCATTTAAATAAAATTCTCCTTCTGTGGCTGTTTTAGATGCCAGTCTTCTCTCTCCCACCCTCAAACCACCTTGTCCTTTGCAGAATTGGTTAAAAAAGTACAAAAATGCCAGTGTGTTACAGGTCATGATATACAACAAATCAAGCATCAGTTTCTAAATTCAGTATTACAAATAGCAGTGCTGTTTCAGAAAAGAGCCATTTACAGTGCAGTCTTTAATTTACTAACCTATTCTTTTCATTAATTTTTAAGACTCAAGAAGTACAGAAAGCAATGGATGAAAGAAAGTTTTGTGAGGCTGTGAGACTTCGTGGAAGGTACCCATAAAATTGAGCCCATCTATCTGCTTTAAGAGAGAATGAATTACTTTGCCTTTTTGTTGATGAACTTGGGCCTGGGGAAGCTCAAACATTACTATCCACTCTCCTTTCTCCAGCACCTCAGCTTAACACATTGCTGAAGCACAGGCCATAATTCAATCTTGACAAGATTTTTCAGAAAACATTTCAGAGTTAAGCATTGGGGCTGTAGTATGTAAAACCCTGATAAACTGATGGTAATAGTCCCTAGTCATGGGGCTGTAGTATGTAAAACCCTGATAAGCTGATGGTAGTACTCCCTAGTCGGTTTCAAAGAGAGAGTACCATATATTCTTAGTTCGCACACCTTTAATGCACACAAAACACTCTGTCAACAGGGTAAAATGTTATAGATAGATTTGGGATTACTATGAAAAACTTCTAACTAAAAGCGTTGAGACAGTGAATCTGCTGGATTCCTTATACAGACTTTCCCTCTTTTCTTCCTGTTACAAACTTTCAAAAGTAAGACTTCATCCTAACATTTTCTGCTCATTCGCACACACATTAAAACTCATGCTGTTCTGATCTCCTGTCAGGGATTGTTCGGCAGGCTTTATGGTGTGACCATAGTAAGTTGTGTGTATCACGTGAACTCTTCAGAGCGTGAGAAAGGGCAGCATCTCAATCCTTTCAAACACTTCAGAACCCTGTCAGCAAACAAACTATCCAGGAATCCTCAGTTAGCAAGAGGGCAGCCCTCAGCTGACTCCTCCTCTTAGCAGTTGTATTCAAATTAAAGTGGCACCAGAGATTGAGACTCTGTCCTTATGGGAGACTCATTGCTTGATCCTGTGTCAATCAGCCACTGAGTCCATAAGCTTATCTTTAACTCTGCACCGGCAGAGGGAGTTTCAGAGGAGTAACCTAGAAAGTACAGTAATAAAAGTTTATATTCCTATAATTTTCAGACACAAGAAACAATAATTAGCTGCAGTTTGCTTTAAGACTCAACATGGTCTTTGATCCTGATATTTAAGTCTACAGTCAGGAAGGAATGAATCAACAGGGATTGCCTTGAGACGATTGATAGAGCTAGTGACTGAAAGTTTGCTTATGTATAAAATTTTGAATCAAATATGTGGTGTACTAGGGTAGGCAGGCCTAGCAAAGGTAGTTGGTTGTTTTAATACAGTAGCATTAGATTACTGTGAAAAGAGTGTAACTCTATTAAGGATTTGTGAAAGTACAGGTTGAACCTCTTTAATTTGGTGATCTCTGGTCTAGCAACATCCATGATCTGGCATGATTTTAGTTAGCAGAATGTCTACTTATCATGGGTGTGGTCAAGTTAACCGTGGTTCCATACAGTTTGTTTGTAGCCACCAGTACTGGCTTGCTATGTCCTGTGCTGATATTTAGATCAAATTTACCCCTAAATGTTGTTTGAGAGCACAGTAAGCAATGGAAGTGTTAGTAATGCTTCTAGACAATGCTGGTGGTCTGGCCTCCTGTGATCTGGCAAATTCTCTGGTTTGGCACTGGTCAGGTTCCCAAGGATATAGGACTAGAGAGATTTAACCTATATGGGAGAAACAAATTGTTTAATAACAATATACATCCTTACCTATCTGTAATACTACTTTGCCTGTTTTATAGGGATTAGTGACATTCTCAGTGTTATTTTATTTTCACAGATCTAGATTTTTATCTTTCCAGTTTTTACATTATTTATTTCATATGGATGTAAGGTTCCTTCTCCTCCCCTTTCCCAAAAAATCCTATTATTTCTGTTAAATGTCTGAATTTGGAAAATTACTGTGATTTTGATTCAAGTATGTTTTCCTTATGTAAGTTAGTATATTCAGTTGTAAATTTATATACAGTAAAGATAAGCACATTAGGGAATAAAATAAGTTATCACCCTTAACATTTTTCAATGACTTTATAAATAAATAACATTACCAGTATACTACACCAGGGTACTACATAGGTGTTCCCTAAGTTATTTTCAATGACTTTATAAATAAATAACATTACCAGTATGCTACTCCAGTGTACTACATAGGTGTTCCCTAAGTTCTATTAGGTTCCAGTAGTTGCCAAGATAACATTGTAAAGTTCTGGGCTTTGTAACTTTAATTTCCTGTCTTTGTTATTTTTTACTCTGTAGTTCAACAATATTTCCCTTTTGTCCTGAGTGACTATTCAGAGTTTGGGGCCCCCTGAGTGTTCCATTTGGGAATAGAGATTGATAGTAGAAAGGTATTTCCCCGATGCAGTTTGGTTACTTATAAAGAATGTATTTGCTCTTGTGTCTCTGAATGCAGATAGAATCAAATAGCTGAAAACAGCTTCTTTTGCTCACAGCATCAAAAGCGCTCTTGTCAGCCTGCATCTCTAACCCCAAAACTTCTACTCGGATTTCTTCCAGGGTCAGGCATGGTGCTTTCAGCTGCTCCTTTGGGCTGTATCTCTCTGAAAGCAATACTCAGCAAAAGCTCTTGGGAAGGTTAAGACATTCCTTTTGTCTTTGGTGGGGCTTATGTTTATTGAAGGGTGAATTCATACCTATTAGTCTCCATTCCTTGACAAAATTTCACCCAGCTCAGAAGAATAACTTCTGTTGAAGAATGTGCATCTCCGAAACTAAAATCCTTAGTTTCCTTTTCTCTTCCACAGATAAGAAGTGGTCATTGCTTAGTTAATGGCACCTATTGAACCAGTTTAATTGCTGTAAGTTCGTATCTGGCCATTCAGTTTTTGTGAGGCAAAACTTGCGCTCTCGTTCATGTTCGTTAGGAGTAAGAGTGAAGCTTCCTATTGCAAATGTCTTGTAGAAAATACAGTAGTGTTTGGCTTTGAATTTTCTCATCTATGGTCTGACAGTTAAGTCTGGCTATCGTGCTGCTTTCTAACTACTCATGTTCAGGCTAAAAATAAGCAGTAGGAGAATGGTCCTCCTTCCATCACTAAATGAATCACTTCTGATTGTAAAAAAATGTATATGACCTTGTATGTGCTTTTAGCAAGGATCTTGTCTGATACTAGCAGGTAGTAAGACCTATAATAATAACTCTTTTCATCTTTATAAATCACCTCTGTGAAATCAGAGCTCCAGTGTCTATAATGTGTGTGACTTTGGGATGCAAAGTGCCAAATTTAGCAACTTGTTAATATTTATTTGGATAGGTAGATCGATTGATCCTTATTGGTCACAAAAACACATTTTCTTTCAAAGAATTTAAAAACTACATAATGAAAACATTATTTTTCCTTTTTAGGAGCTTTGAAAACAACCTGAACACCTACAAATTATTGTCTCACAGAAGACCAGATGCAGAACTTCCAAAGGCAAGTTATATCGTTTAAATAATTAAATGAGCCATTTTTGGTTTTCTGTTTAATGTGCAGAATAATTTTGGTCTGGAGTATTTTAGGAAATAAATCTTGACATATTTTTCAGTTTGGAATTTAACAACTGTTTGCTAAAAATAATCGTATACTGTATTTGGTGTAATTAGAATAAAAACTTTAATAAAACAGGCTTGGTAAGATACACTTTGACTTTAATCTTAAAATTGGTATAGAGTAACAGTCTTTTAAAGCTAAGAAATACTCTTCTTAGGAAATTCCTTTCTAAGACCCGTATCTATCATGGGTATGTCTGTGGCATCAGTTGCTGTATATCTATACTCACATTTAAAAGACTTTAAAGGGAGGGTCACTGGGTAGGATTCCTCATCTTTCTGTCCAATGAGCAAAACACTTTTTGAGATCTCAGTGTGCATGGCTAGAAGATTAGAGGGTGGAGTCAGGGATTAATACTGTATATGCTATGTGCCTGGGCAGGGTGAAGAGGACCTGGCTCCATGCTCCTGGAAGGGGCAAGGCCAAGTGCAGAGGGGCTGGTCTGAGGGCAGCCGCCCACAGCGCTGCTTAGAGTGTGCCCTCCCCTTAGTGCTGCCTGGAACACACAGCATGACACTCTAGCTTGGTGCTTCTGTGGCAATTTAAGTGGTAGCAACTGGTGCCCTGAGCCCTGTGAATCACCAGGCCCCAAGTTCTGGGCTTCTATTACCCTTAAAGGAGTGGGTAGTAGTGTATGTAAGCTACTCAGTGTGGAGTTCTGTCTCCCTGTAGTGGTAGCTGGGCCACAGAGGTTGAGCCTTCTACAGCCTCAGCTAACAGCTGAGACTTTGTGCTCAGGCAGTAGTGGGTTCTGGGGCTTAGTATTACAAATGCACCTGCAGACCTCCAAACAATGACATCATGTCCTGGGGCCAAGGAAGGAACTCTTCATAGATGCCTTTAGATCTTCAGAATGTGGTCCAGGGTTCTCCATGAATCCTAGAGCTCTGTATCATTAGTTGGTTGTGCCTTCTCTGTAATATTTACAAGCCTTTCCTCTGCTTAGATTTTCTGTCAGATTTGCTCTGCAGCGTCAGAGCTATGGAAACACATTTAATTTTCTCTCCGCATGAAAGGAGTGATTTGTAGTTCTACTTCCTTTCTTTTCTTCTTCCACTGAATTGGGTTTAGTTAGCTTGTTAGTTTTTTCTTCTGGGAAAGCTATGTATTTTATTTTTAAGTTTGAACACAAGTCTCTATTTCATAAAAAGAAAATTCCAAACTTTCCATAGTCTTTGGAACAATGGAATTGCTAGAGTAAATACTTTCTGGCTTAGATTTATTGCCATGGTCAGCTACTGGCTAAGAGTTTAAGCACGCAGATAGGTAGGTAGGTAGATAGATATGAACTGAGAAAGTATAACACTATGCAGACAGATAAAACCAGCAAGAGCTTATGTTCTAAAGGAAATCAGGCAATGAAGGGAAAAATAAGAAGTAGAGACAATTTTAAAACTAGAAACAAAATGGCAGGAAAAAAAGCATGTCAGAGGAATCTTTAGGCATAAAAGCCAGTATTTTCAAAAACAGGAGCCTAAATTAGGTTTCAGAAAGCATATTCAGATGCTTAAATGAGCAGCCTGATTTTCAAGAGTTCCAAGCACTTAGCAGAAACTGATGGATGATCAGCACAGCAGTTTTGAAAACAAACAAACAAACAAAAAAACCAACAAAAACCAGGCCATTTATTTAAGTACCGAAATATTGGAGTTTAGTTTCTGACTAATACATATTTTTAAAAAGTCTTGGCTATCGTCTTACTGTGTATGGCATTTATGAATGTTGTAGGTTGGCCTGTAGTTGTTAACACCTGTTAAGATTTGATTAAACAAAAGATTTTTATTTTTATTTTGTTTTGTAAGTGTTAAGAGATTTTGGATTTAAATTCTTCCGGTGCTCAGCAGTTAAAAAAATATTTAAAAAACTGCTTTTCGCTAAAGATGAAAAAATGTAACTGTTAATGTACTATATCATGAGTTTATATAATTGTCATTGTCTAAAAGCGAACACACATAGAAAACCAGTCAAACTTACTGGAAAGAAAAAAGATGAGAACAGAGAGGACTGGAAGAAACTATTTTCTTAGCTTTAGTGGCCTATTATAGAAATTAAAATAACTAAAAAAAAAAATAGTAAAACAATAATCCTCAACTCATATAAATCAGGTAAGGGATTCGACCATAGTATTCTGCTCCAAAATAAAGATCGAAGTTTCTTGTGAAGACTTTGTTTCTTGAGTAACTTAACAAGTTTCAAGTATTATTTGTGCAGAGAACTCTTGCATTGTAGGATTGTAGATACTATCTCATTACAATTGTTAGATTGTTAATTGGCAGAAAATGTCTAACCAGTAGTCTGTTACTTTAAAATCTCTCTGTTCTCTTTAACAGGATGATCTCTCATGTAGTGTACGTAATTACTTGCACAGTGGTTAACCTTAGATGGCTCAATAACCATTTGTAAATGACTATGTTTCACTTTTGCATGAAATTTAATTTGCCTTTTTTTAATTTTACACTTGTGCTCAACGGCTGGATGGTAGAATTTTCAAGGAACCATGCTTTGGTTTTGCCACAACGTTATTTATATCAAGTCTTTTCTATTGTCACCCTCCCGAATTTCAGTATGTGTGCAATAACTCTAAAATGAAAATTAAATTGACTTCCATGAAATGCAGATTTCATAATTTACTGATAAACCATTTTCTCTGTAGAAACTTTTAATGCCTATTCTGTAATCACATGGTTATCCTAAACCATACCATGTGTATTTATAGTAGGTTATAAAAGACAGAATGCCGGATTCTGCAAATTTAAGAATATTCTCTCCCTCCTCATGAGTAAGGGGAAACAATGCTGAAAATGATCATTTCAAAATTTAACATTTCAAGAGCCACACCCATTCCATTTTGAATAGATACAATATTATGTAAGATTTACCAATCCTACGTAGGCTTAGTCATTTGTCAAATTGAATGTCTCTTTGAATGTAGCAGAAGAGGTCGTCAGGTCAGTGGAGAATAAAAGCAAAGAGCATAAAATCTGTAGATGTCTGAAATACTTACCACAGTGCTATCATAGTTTAATAATTTACTGACATTTCTTAGTTCTGGGATCAAACAAGTGTCTGCCAGGTAGTTTTGTGGTCTAGGGTTGATGATTTCTTCAGTCCATTTATTATTAGATCAATTCAAGAAAAAATGATCTTTTTGTTGGTGTCCAGGAAAGTCAGATAATAATCTTAAGTATCACAATGCAAAATTCTGGCAACGGGGCAACAGAAGTATCCAGATGTTATTCACCATCAGCCATATATAAGCAAAAAACATTTAACATTTCAAGAGCCAAAGCCATTCCATTTTTAATAGCTACAATATTATGTAAGATTTACCAATCCTATTTAGGCTTAGTCATTAGGCAAATTAAATATCCCTTTGAAGGCACCAGAAGAAAATAAAATATCAAATATCAATACAAAACTTTTCATAAATTACTTAACATATAATCCTTTAGGACAGACAGGGGGCATTATGTTGTTTTAAATATGACTTCATTGTAATTTTAACAGCCCAAATACAATATTTTGTTAGAAATTCTTAATACATAAAAGCATATACATGCATTTACATACTTGTATATATATGGCCCTGACCCAACAAAGTCTTGCCTACTTCTTGCAGAGTCAAAAGTCATATAGAGTCAGCTGTAGTACTTAAGTGCTTCGCTGGCTACGATCCTAAGTGTGCAGCAGCACTGCGTTCATTCTGGTACTGGAGAATGAGACTCTTCGCTACAGGCCTACACAGTCTGGCATGCACTATCACTCTGTGTGGCACAGGAAGTAATATAGCCGTGCAATATTTGCATCAATACCATGCTTTTGGTTTAGTGACTGTTTGTGTTTTAAAATCTGTAATCTTTGGAAAACAACCAAAATATGTGTTCTCTTTTGGGATTGAAAATGAAGAGTTTCCTCCTCGATTAGGCCACAGCAATGCCAGTATCTGGGCACAGCATTTTAATGCATGTCATTTTAATGTGGAGGTGCTGCTGAATGTGATTAACAAATCGCTTAAAGCTCAATGAATGCTGCTACACAGCCTCAGACTACTTTGCATTTTGCTTCTGCTGTTCACTAGCACTTGAATGCTTCACTCTTACTAAATATAACATAGTTTAACTTCTCCAGAAGGTAAGCCATGCAAACTTTTAGTTCTATTCTTAAGATTTTTTTGCTTGTATTAATTTAAACTGGTGTAATATGAAATCAGATTCCATGTATTATAAATATAGACTTACTTCTTTCATATGAAAGTAATGGGCTGTATTCTTAGCAGGTGTAAATCAACATGGCTTCATGGAATTCAATCATATGAAAGTAATGGGCTGTATTCTTAACAGGTGTAAATCAACATGGCTTTATGGAAATCAGTGGAGCCACATTGGATTTATACTGTCTGAAGGGTTGGCCCAACATCTAATAGTTATAATTAGGCTGCGCGTTAATGCCTGCGATTAATGCAGAGCACAATTAACGCATTAATTTTTTAATCCATTAATTCCAAGTGTTTTTGCAGTCCTGCCCCTTTGAAACACCACGGCCGGGTTTAAAAGGGATAGCGCTGCACTGAGCTGGGGGTCAGCTGGGGAGTCCAGCTGATCAGGAGCTCCTATGGCCGCTGCCCCTTCGAAATGTTGAGGCAGCATGTCAATGGGGCAGCTCAAAGCAGAGCTTGGGATCAGTGGGGGACTCCATCTGATTACGGGCTCCACGGTGCTGTCCCTTTGAAATGCTGCAGCCGCGTTTCAAAGGGGCAGCGCTGCACGGAGCCGGGGTCACCTGGGGACTCAAGCTGATCCCAGGTTCCCATGGTATGCCCCTTTTAAACACTGTAGAGGCAGCGGAACTAGGAGGTCGGGGTCAGCTGGAATCTTATTCTTGTTTAACAGTGCGATTAATCACAATGATTTTTTTTTAATCGCGTGATTAATCACGATTAATTTTTTTAATTGCTTGACAGGCCTAGTTATAATGTAAAGATTTTATTTTAGTACAACTTTGAGGAAAATAACCAGTGGTTAATTTGGAAAGAACATGCCTCTGTTTCAGGTATTGCTTATTGTACCTTGAGTTTAGTAGAGTTCTGTGAATCATGGTTATAATTAATCTACAAGATGTTTTGCTGATTTTTTTACTCAATAGCTTGACTTTTTTTTACCCTGAGAAGACTCATTTGGGTTTGTCATTTCCTTTAATGTGTACAATAGAACTCAAAGCATAGAGTTGTTTTTTTTTAGGAAAATATCTGTGGACCAGACAATGTTCTTGGTTACACCAATGTGAAGTAAAAGTGTCTCCACTGCAGAAAATAATGTTTGCTGTTCCAAAACTGGTTTGAGGTCAGAATCAAACCCCATATATCTGACCTATAACTAAAAAAAATCTTACAACAGTATTGTGTGTATTCGGTTACCTAAAATGTATTGAATGTGCTTTTTTGTAAATCCATCTACAAACAATTGTTTGACACATCCAAGGTAAAATTCATAATTAAGTTATGTAAAGAAGGACTTTGATATTGATAAGAACATGTGCACAGAATGTAAGTTACCTGAGAATATTCTGTTTCTTTTATTATTGCGGGCCTTGTTTTAAGAGCCTTTTTTCTCCTACATCTCTCTGTTCTTTGCTCTAATCTTTAGTGAAGTCAAAATCTGTGTATTATATTGTAGCCTTGTGCCATGGAAATCACTCCAGTATCTCAGTATCATTATCCTGACTTCACTGTAGAATTTAAAACAGAGACTTTGAGCTCTGAAATGACTAAAGCCCTTTACCTAAATACATTTAATTCCAGTATTTAGGAAACATTACATACCCAAAAGTAGTTCAAGTTGTCTAAATCTAACTTATAAACCATTGTCTCACTGTGAAAGTCTCTTTTAAGTGACCATTGTTATAGTATCTTGCCCATAAGGTTTTGGCAGGCATTTTAATTTAAAGCTGTTGTCTTTTCTGCTCCATGAGTCAGCTGATAGCACCTGCTTAGTGGTTATGTCACGAGACCAAAACATGTCCCTTCCCACTCTTTGCCTTGCCAGCTCTGGGTATTTTTTGTTCCAGAGTTCTGCACAGATATGACACCACATGGATAACTGAGTTTTTTCTGTCATTTTTTGACCCTACTGGGAAGAAAATACATGACCTTGAGTGATATGATCTTCAGGTCAAATGAAGCTTTTTGTTAAAATTGTCTAAGAAAAAAATTAGAAATGCTAGATCTTTTGTTCCTTTTCTGATAGTTTTGTGTGTCTTTTTTTTACTATATAGCTGCTATGTAACATTAGAGTATCTGTCAGTTGTTTAATTAGTGTACATTCTGTCTAACAATTGTTTTCTTTCTTTTGCAGACTAATTTTAATGTGGCAGTTTTAAATGTAGGTGCCCCAGCAGCTGGGATGAACGCTGCTGTCCGATCTGCAGTAAGAGTTGGCATAACTGAAGGTCACAACATGTTTGCTGTTATTGATGGATTTGAAGGCTTTTCTAGAGGCCAGGTTAGTATGAAATTACTGCATTTAAAGTACGGTAGCTCGTCTTTATTTTTTACCTATTTGTCATTTATCAAATGGAAGTAACAAAATGATTGTGAGGCCATTGAGGGAACTAAGTTCACAGGGATTTTTAAATTTAACTGCTTATATATACACACACCTAGTTAATTCAGATTGGAGCTAATTACTTTATTGCCAACAAAAATTGATAAATACATAGATTATGTCACAAGTACATTTACTATTGCTAAGCACTAGTTATAGAGACTGAGCATGTCTTGATGCAATATTTGGGTACTAAACACCAACAGAATTTCGGTACAGCCCAGACCTAGGCAATTCAATTATGAATTAATATTTTGTTTGAGATTATTACATTGTTAAGCACCAGCAATGTGTGTAGCACTGTGCTGAACACAAAAATAGAGAAGAGTCTCGTTCTTGAGCGGTATACTCTCAGAGGAGTGGCTCTCTTGTTTGAGGATGCACAATTTATGCCAGCTATTGAAATTTGGGCACAGGTTGGATCTCTGTCTCTTTGTAAGAACTATTGAAGCAGGCAGAGGCTCAGCCTACTTAATTTTGTGCCCGCAGTTATTGTTGCACTCATAACTTTTAAAGATGTAGGATATGTCTACAAAAAAAGCAGTCCATTATAAAATGTACCTTTAAGAACATCCTGATTTAGGTTAATCCAGTCTGAATTATTTTGTCTCTTGGATATCTTGGATGAGAAATTCTCTGTAGAAGAGTTTCATTGCTTCTTCACAGAGGATAGCTTTAATGTGACCTTGGCAGGATGCTGAGTATTTGGCACACTGCCTACATTGTAGTAGCCATTGGAGTATGAAGCATCTGGAGATAAGTACACAGGGTACATAACAATGAGATAACTGACAAATCATTGAATCGGTTGTCATGTTTCTACCTTATTGTTATATATACCCCTTCGGTAGCATGTACTACACTATACAGCAGCCAAGTCACTTGTGACAGGATGTATTTTTGAAACCCTGGAGAACTTCTCTTTAGGGCAGACAGGTTGTGTCTGTTGGTTTTTTTTTTCAGAAAGTGGGGATAGGTTAGTCGTCATGATACTTCCCTTCCTCCATGTCAAAAGCAATACATCAGCTAATCTTGAGAAGATAGATTCGGTGTTTGTCAGATTCTACTGCCTAGCTCGGCCAGGGGATGGTAGGGAAGTGTCAGGTCACAGCAGAGTGAAAATTGTTCCTTCTCTTGAGTGTGTGAAGAACCAAGCTTGGGACTGGTTTGGATTCTTGCATTACACTGTCACTAAAGGTGAGGGGAAGACATGAAATAGGAAAATGACGAAAGATAAGAGTTGAGGGAAAAGATGGGGGCAAGATTCATAGAGGAAGAAGAAACAAATAGTGTGGAATTAAGGATGGGGATAAAGAGAGGGGTAAAATTTCAAGGGAGATTAAATTAACCTCTTGAAACTGAGCTGTGGGATTTTTTTTCCCTGTCTCATTTGTAGCAGCTCCCATAGTTCTCAATCAACATCTGTTCTGAAAGCTTTACATTAAGCTGCATCATTGCATGACCAAAAATACAGCATTTGGAAAATTACTTAAGAGAACCTCCTCTTTTTCATTTTATTTGTAGATAAAGGAAATCAGCTGGGGAGATGTTGGAGGATGGACTGGCCAAGGAGGGTCACTTCTTGGCACAAAACGGTAATGTCATAATTTTGGCTTTAGTCACTTTATGCAAGTAGAAGAAACAGGGGCCAAAACATGCATTCTTGAGCTCCAAGTGCTGTCTTTACAGTCTATTTATGCATTGAAGCTTCTTTTGTCTTTTCAGAATGTACTTGGTCTGTTCTCTTTTAAATTCAGGATGTTCAAATTCAGCATTTTGTGGTACTAATGTGTTCCCATCAGAGGAGACAGAATTAAAATAGTTCCTCTTCTCATAAGTTGTGTGCTCTAGCCCTCTAATTTTTGTTGCCCTCCGCTGGACTCTACAATGTGCCTACATCCTTGGAATTGGACACAATACTCCAGAATTGGATGCAATACTCCAGATGTAGCATCATCAGTGATGAATAAAGGAGAGTAATCGCTTCCCTAGATATGCTGGTGATGCTTCTACTAATGCACCCCAATATGCCATTAGCCTTCTTGGCTACAAGGGCACACTGTTGAGTCATATGCAGCTCTTCTTGGGTTTTTTTTGCTCTTCTTAGGCCTTCTTGGCTACAAGGGCACACTGTGAGTCATATCCAGCTCTTCTTGGGTTTTTTTGCTCTTCTTATTTTAAAAGAAGAGAGGGAAAAGACCTACTAAAGACATAAAATTGAGTTTCTATAAGATTTGGGATGGATTTCCCATAAAAGCCATTCCTGGTTTCCTTTGTTCCTGGCTGCAATTGTATCATGTAATCATCGTAATATAGGTGATACTCAGAAGAAGAAAAAATGTCTGTGCATAAGGCTGTGTCTATACTACAAGTTAGGGGTGTGATTCCGCTGCTCAAATACATACACTGGGCTAGATTGAGTATAAATAGCAAAGTAGCTCAGGAGTAGAAGAAGTGAGTAGTTCAGGGGAAGCTTGGCTTGGGCACACCAAATACAAACCTGCCTGAAACAAGTGAGTGCCTCCACTACCACTGCTCATGCTACCAAAGCTACACTGCTATTTATATGCACACTAAGCTATTGTGAGCAAGTGTGATTATTGGTGCACGAGCATGGGAATCACCTTAGCCTATGTCAAGTGTATAAAATGCAGAACATTTCACTGTCTTCTGACAGTGTAACAATCATCTTATCAAAATGAACAGGTATTGTGGGTAATATCCATAGATTTTTTTTACCCCTCTCATTTTGATTTAAATATTTTTAGTACCCTCCCTGCAAAATATTTGGAGAAGATTGCTGACCAGATGCGTGCTAATAACATCAACGCTCTTATGGTTATTGGTGGATTTGAGGTACATTACTTAGTCATTCTGTTAACATGTTATCTGGAGTGGAATTGAAACATACACTCATTTTTAAGCATCAAAATATTTTCTTTTGCTTGCAACTAAAATTTTGCATATGATGCATTTTGACATATGGAACCAGAGCGAGGGCTTTTGAGATAAGACATTTTGAGATGATCCATGTCTCTAGAGCTTTGGTATCCAGGATAGTTACTTTTTTTTCTTAATCAAATGTAAGACAGCAAGATAAAACACATTTTCAAAGAGCCTAAGTGACTTAGGAGTCTCCAATGAGACTAAGAAATGTAGACATCTTTGAAAATCTCTATAGTAATTTTTAAATTAATAAATAATAAAAACTGCACTATGGCTTATTGTTTAAGCCACTCCAGTTCACATGTTGATTTCATTCTGATACATTTTATTTTCTGTAAATAATTAGAAATGCATTTTTATTTTTTGAAAGGATTTTAGTCTTTTCACCAAAACAGCTTTTACTTTATATAGGCCTTGATTCAAGAAAGCATTTCTTTTCATCAAAGTGTATAAACAAACATACTTAAAATTAAGCACATGTTAAGTGCCTTCCTGAATGTGGATGGACTTATGCTCATGCATAAGTACTTTGCTGAATCAGGTCCATAGTGATGAGATTGCTGGGCACTTAAATGAAAATAACTGTAATATTAAGATGTATAGGAATCTATCTGTATAGTAATTTTTTTGTATTAGAGCATTATGCATGTATATGCTATATATCTTACTGTTTTTGTTTATGTATTTTTGTTAGATTTTAGTGGTTCCTTATTATCCCAATCTGTGATGTGTGCTGTGGTAAAAATGGCTCTCCCTTTGGCCTCATCCCTGTTATTATTCCACCCTTGTCCTCTTTATGTCCCTCTTAATTGTTTACACCATGCCTGTGCCCAACAGGCCTACCTGGGACTTTTGGAATTGTCAGCTGCCCGTGAGAAATATGAGGAGTTCTGTGTTCCAATGGTTATGGTTCCTGCAACTGTATCCAACAATGTACCGGGTTCAGATTTCAGCATTGGTGCAGATACTGCTCTGAACACTATAACTGATGTAAGTCTGTTCAAGTGTGCATGCTTACTAACAAAGCATTCAAGTTAATGCTGATTGAATTGGCTAGCAATGGATATTTTATAGACCAGAACACCGGAAACATAATTTGCAAAATGGTTTGGTGCCTGCATCCAAATATTACTAAACTGAAACATTTTGGTACTTAGCTTTCTCTTACCTCCAGAAGTTTCAACCGTTTTCACATAAACTGTATAGAAAAACTCCATTTTCATTTTTCACATTTTTGGATTTTGGAAAGTAATAAAATGAGACAAACTAGTGAGGTAATATATTTTATTGAACCAACTATTGTTGGTGAGAGACTCAATTTTTAGGCTATTCAGGACTTGAAGAACAGCTTGTTGCTCACACCAGTATAAAGTTGGTGCAATTCAGGATATCATCGCACAACTCTTGTTTATCTAATATCCTGGGCCTGACATGGCTACAACACTGTATACACATAAATGGTTTTTGTTGCAAACATATATGGAGGGGAGGGGAGAGGAAGATAGGGGAGTGAAAAAAGTGCCATCATCAAGCCCAAAGTAAAAAATAGTGACAATTTACAAGTGTAGAATGGAAAATCCCTTCCCTACATCAGACATTAGAGTATCCAGTTTCAGTAAAAAATACCAGGACATCCTTATTTATTACAAAGATTAGGGTTTATTTTTGGCTATTTCCCCAATAAGTAGTTATTTTACTAATGCTCTACTTTGCATCACTTCTCTGCAAAAGATTCAAGGAGATTTCCATACCTGGGCAATTCTTTTTATGTGACAAATCTGATAAACTGCTATAGCTTCAGGTGTCAGTAGAGGAGATTTTGGAACAAGTTGATAAACACTAATAAATCTTTGGAACTAGATTTTATTCACCCAAGAGTTCTGAAAGATATCAGATGTGACATTGTCGAACTAACAACTGTGGTATGTGACATATCACTTAAACCAGTGTGGTGTTAGGTGGCTGTTTGTTTTAAACCTGCTGCCTATTGATTTCATTTGGTGACCCCTAGTTCTTACACTGTGGGAATAAGTAAATAACTTTTCCTTATTCACTTTTTCCACACCACTCGTGATTTTATAGACCTCTATCATATCCCCTCTTAGTCTCCTCTTTTCTAAACTGAAAAGTCCAAGTCTTTTTAATCTCTCTTCATATGAGACCCTAATAATTTTTGTTGCCCTTTTCTGAACCTTTTCCAATGCCAATATATCTTTTTTGAGAGAAAGTGACCACCACATCTGTACACAATATTCAAGATGTGGGCGTACCATGGTTTTATATAGAGGCAATAAGATATTTTCTGTTTATTCTCTATCCCGTTTTAAATAATTCCTAACATTCTATTTTCTTTTTTACTGCCTCTGCACAGTGAGTGGATGTTTTCAGAGAACTATCCATGACTCCAAGATCTCTTTCTTGAGTAGGAGTAGTTAAATTAGTCCCCATCCTACTGTATGTATAGTTGTTGTTATGGTTTCTAATGTGCTTTACTTTACATTTAGCTACATTAAATTTCATTTGTCATTTTGTTGCCCAATCAGTTAGTTTCGTGAGATCTTTTTGAAGCTCTTCACAGTCTGCTTTGGTCTTAACTATCTTGAGCTGTTTGGTATCATCTGCAAATTTTGCCACCTCACTGTTTACCCCTCCTTCTAGATCATTTATAAATAAATTGAATAGGATTGGTCCCAGAACAGACCCTTGGAGGATCCCACTAGTTACTCTCTCCACTCTGAAAACTTAACCATTTATTCCTACCCTTTGTTTCCTGTCTTTTAACCAGTTATCAATCCGTGAGAGGACCTTCCCTCTTATCCCATGACAGCTTACTTTACTTCAGAGCTTTTGGTGAGGGACCCTGTCAAAAGCTTTCTGGAAATCTAAGTATACTATATCCACTGGATCCCTCTTGTCCACATGTCTGTTGACCCCCCTCAAAGAACTCTAGTAGATTAATAAGGCATGATTTCCCTTTACAGAAACCATGTTGACTGTCCCGTAACAAATTGTATTAATCTCTGTGTGTGATAATTTTTCTTCTTTACTATAGAACTAATTTGCCTGGTACTGACTTTAGACTTACCGGTCTGTAATTGCCAGGATCTCCTCTAAATCTAGTTTTTAAATATTGGCGTCACATTAGCTATCTTTTAGAAGCTGATTTAAAGGATAGTTTACAAACCATAGTTAATAGTTCCGCAATTTCCCATTTGAGTTCTTTCAGAACTCTTGGGTGAATGCCATCCGGTCCTGGTGACTTGTTACTGTTAAGTTTATCAATTTATTCCAAAACCTCCTCTAATGACACCTCAAATCTGGGACAATTCTGGCACCTAGATGAACATATGATATCAGGAAAGTGTCACAATGGCTTTTGAAAAGGGAAATCGTTCACCACCAGTTTTTTTGGAATCATTTGAGAGGTCAACAACCATATGGACAAGGATGATGCAAGATACAGTGTTAAAGGATTTCTGAAAGTCCAAGTACAAGGTCTGTCGCTAAAAACTCTTGGTCAAAGTAAGCAATCATGGCTATTAGCCATGATGGTCAAAGATGTAACCCCATGCTTTGGGTGTCTCTGAATCTCTGACTGCTAGAAACTTGGACTGGACGACAGGGATGGATCGCTCAATAAATTGCCCTGTTCTGTTCATTCTCTCTGAAGTACTTGGTACCAGACACTTTCAGAAAGCAGGATACTAGGCTAGGTAGACCGATGGTCTGGCCCAGAACAGCCTTTCTTATATTCTTAATAAAAAGCAGTATTTTCACTATGTAATCATTCAAAAATATATTGAGATAACTCTTATTGAGCCTAATAGAAGTGGTAGCTACTCAGAACTCAGGAACTCTTTTGTATTATTAACTAAAAAGATGTGCCTATTAATATGCAAAATAACTAGTGTTGACTAGACAGAAAATAGTTTGAGAGTCACTTATTAAAACAAAGTCTGATTTTGTTGTCAAGAATATAAATTTATATCTTATTGGGGTAATTTTGGAAATTTCAGGAAACATAAATCTATCATTTTTACTCCAAATATAGTGATTTTCTACTTATGCATCAGAAACAGAATTTAGGTTCCCATGGAATAAAAAATAGCAATGATTTTGAAATTATTTTTAAAAGAGAAAATCATATTTGGAGAAAGTCAGGTTTAATCTGCACAGAAAGTCTACAGTTAAAATCAAAGACTGCAAACTACTACGGGAGGCTTTTTCTTTAAGATCAAAATGTCACACATTTTTCATTCTGGATTTATTTTGAAGGAATTCTAGCTCTCCTTCATAACATGTTTACTTCATTCATGTACCTGGAAGTGCTACTTTGTGGTTTTGTCCTGTGTCTTATACAATCATGGCCATAACCTCATACAAGGATATAGCAAGAGGGAGAATTATTGAATAGCCCTTTAGTCCCATTTCCAAAAGTGTAAGTGTGAAGGCACATAAGTCCCACTGATTTTCTGTGAAAGATAGTGATTTTCAAGTCCCTTTTGAACATGGGACTTCAGTTTGTAAGTCACTTAGGATAGATCTGTATTGGAACACCTGCACCTGGACCACATCAGCTGACTCATGGGACTCTGCCTAAGTGGGCTGTAAAATTGCAGTGCAGACATTTGTGCTGGCGTCTGAATCCAAACATCTATGCAACAGTTTTAGAGACTTGCAGCCTGAGCCCTGCAAGCCCAGGTCAAATGATATGTTCCAGCTGCATGTGTGTTACTGCAGTGTACATATACCATAGATACTTTTACACATTTTAATCCATGAGCATTAACATCAATTTTTGCATTTATATACTTAGTAACTTACCTGTATATGGAAGAGTCAACTTTTCATTTTATTTATTTTTAAAGCCAAGTTAAATCTTGATGCATTATTATATGTTTGCTTTCCCTTGTAAAGAGTGTAAACAACAGATCAAAATTTAGTTATTGGCCTTGTTTCCAGTTCTGGTAAATAAAATTATCCATTCCAAAAAAGATTGACATCAAATCAAGGTAAGTAAAATAATGCTATAATGCATGATGCCTGCCTTTTCTTCTTTTCATAGACTTTCTGCATTTACTTAACTGTCATCTTTTAGAACTTGTAGACTATTTTCCATAGAGCAGGACACATAGCAGTATTTTAGATTTTATGTAACCATCATTGGATAGCGGTCAGACAGTATTCCCATCTTTTTAATACCGTAGTTTAACTTTGTTTTGAGATGAATAGTGGTTCAGGAAGCCATAGATTTCAGTTAAGCCGTGAAGAGAATTAAAATAGAGTTTAAATAATTTCTTTAAGATCTTTTGTTTAGAGAAATGAAAGGACTTTTTCTTAATAACAAAAGTTTGTAAGATGTGTAAGCCTTCTGTCCTCTGAGCATCAGTTCAGATGGAAGCTATAGTGGGTCTCTCAGAGAACTGGTAGTGGAATATAGACCTTTTGATGTTGAATTTCACACATTCAGATCATATTGAGTAGCATAGATGCTGACTCCATGGATGCTCCAGGGCTAGAGTGCCCTCGGAGAAAAACACCCAGCAATAGCCAAGATTCCCCCTCCTCTTAGTACCTCTCACTCCCAGTAGCACTGCTGCTCAACTCCTCCCTCTTTCCCATTGCCTCCTGCCAACTGCTGTTTTGTGGCATTCCAGATGTTCCAGGAAGGAGGGGAGGAGTGGAGATGCTGTGTGCTTGGGGGAAGAGGTAGAGAAGAGGCTGGGTGGGGAAAACTTTGGAGGTAAGGTGTAAAATGGGAGCAAAGTGGGGCCAGAGGGTTGTGGGAAGAGGCGGAGTGAGGGCAGGGGGAGGTCGCACCTCCTGGCTAGAGGTGAAGTTGGTATCTATACTCAGTAGTGATGTCACCCTCTGTAATGGCCAAATGGCTTATTAAATATGCATGGACAATCTCCTAGTTTCTATGAATGAGAATATTGAGCAGAGATATTGCATGGGCATGAACAATGAACTCCTACAAATGATTCCTTTAGATCAGTATTGAAGCACATTAGTGGGTGAAGTTAATGGTCCCTGGTCTGTGGATATGACACAGTTTCCAATATTATCAGTCTGGCATATTTCATGAGCACTAAAGTGACCCGAAACTTTGTTGTAGGGATTCAAACCAACTGTTTTATTGATGCACTTCTAACTTAAATGTCCGTCTTTGTCAATTTTGTCAGTTTATAATAAGGTAAGTATGAGGTCTCCTAATGGGTAATGAGGTGTCTCTAGTACATATATAGGCAGCTTTCTGAGATCCAGAACAATTTTAGTCTGGCTAGTTACTTTAGTTGCCTCTGTTATATTGTCTGAAAAATAGTCAGGCATGTAAACAGTATCTTAAATGCTATTTATAGGATACTGACTTTCTAACTGGGGGACTTATTTTCCATAGTCAGATAAATTGTTCTCTGTACATAATACAAGTGTAATTTTTAGTTAGTTGATGCATTGCATGGCTCATGTTGCCCAAAATATGTTTGTATATAAGATCTGTCCAAAGATGATAGTTACTATTTTGAAGACTTTAAGGAGGGAGTAAAATGGTTTCCTTAACCACAACTAAATACTAAAATAATCAAACTCCAAAAGTAAATTGTGGATAATTCAGTGTAGATCTTTACATGCAGACAACCAAAAATCATCCAGTGGTGCTTTGGCATCTTTTAATGTGCTTAATTATTCCCATTTCTTGCACTCAGGAAAAATATGATAGAGTTAATAGGTAGCTCCTAATGTGACATTTCTTGCACTCAGGAAAAATATGATAAAGTTCCTAATGTGTAGAAATTCTGAATTAAAAAGGGTTCATGATAGTGCTAAATAGAAGATGAACAACACCAAAATGTAGGACTTCCCGCTTTGAAGAATTTACAACCTAAAGAAAAGACCTGTGCACTCCTTAGCAGTGGGACTTAAATTGAGTAGCAAGATTTTTTAATTCTGAGCCTCTCTAGCACAGCACCCTGGAAATTCTGTGTCAGTTTCACTTACATTTTAGAATGCAGGATTTTTATCAATCACATACGAAACAAATCTCAGAGGGGTAGCTGAGTTAGTCTATCATGAGCTTTCAAACCCCACTTCTTCAGCTGACATGATCTTGAGTGGAAAAATATTAAAAAAATAAATCTTACGCTCAGTGCAGTTTGTCCTGTGTTATATGTTTTTTATATTAAATCAAATTTACGTTTAAAAAACTTTATTTTTTGATGTCAGATTTTTGTACTGACATTGTATGACTGCCTTGCAGAGTTAATCTGGTAGAGGTTTGGCACTTTTGGCACCTAGCTAGATGTAGGAGACATTTGAGGATTGTGGGATAAGCATGTTAGCTGGCAGTTTCTGTTAAAAAAAACCCATCAGTGTGCAAACTCAGGAACACAACACTCAGGAAGGCTACGTCTACACTGGCCCTTTCCGAAAGGGGCATGCTAACTTTCAACTTCAGAATAGGGAAATCTGCTGGGGATTTAAATATCCCCCGCGGGATTTAAATAAAGATGGCCGCCGCTTTTTTCCGGCTTGGGGAAAAGCCGGAAAAAAGCGTCTAGACTGGCCCGATCCTCCAGAATAAAGCCCTATTCTGGAGGATCTCTTATTCCTACTTTGAAGTAGGAATAAGAGATCCTCTGGAAAAGGGCTTTATTCCGGAGGATCGCGCCAGTCTAGACGCTTTTTTCCGGCTTTTCCCCAAGCCGGAAAAAAGCGGCGGACATATTTAAATCCCGCGGGGGATATTTAAATCCCCCGCGGATTTCCCTATTCTGAAGTTGAAAATTAGCATGCCCCTTTCGGAAAAGGGACCAGTGTAGACGTAGCCCAAGTGTATACTGGTCAGTATTTTCAAATTGTTTTCTTTATAACTCTATAAAGACTAAATTTTTAAATAAAAGCTTGGATTCTGCAACGCAAATCTCCAACCGGGGAGGATTTCAGAGAAAATTCTGCAACATGATTTTACATAAGACAAGTGGTTCCCATTTGCTTTAACAGAGTGAAACTAAATTATAGCTCCTCTAATAGACAACAGAGACTGATAAGAAGATGGGGGGCAGGGAATAATTTGAAGTGTGATGGGGCTTAGAGAGGGTTAAGAGAAAGAAATATAGAGTTAAGCCACAGACAGGAAAAAGTCTTAAATTCACAATGTCTGCACCATAAAAGCCATGAACTGGCTAGCCTGCCTGAGCTAGGGATGTACAAAATGTGTTAAAGTAACTGTGTAACTGCTCAAAATTAAAATGGTTACACAGGGCGGGTGTTAAGTGGCTTCCCGGAAGCCAGTGTGGGTGGGGAGCTGATTTTTAAACTTAATGAGGCTCATCGGTTAAACATGTACATGGTTACACTTTCACAGCCTTAGTGGCTATCCACACTACACTGTGCACAGCTTTTGCTATGCAGGCATATGCCTAAGGAAAGTGGGAGTAAGAGGAAAGGAGGAAGAAAAGTTGATAGTCACAGATGGAGAATGGAAAAATGGGAGAGGAGCAACCTAGCACCAGCCACGTGAAAGGGAGGAGAGAGAACCTGTCAGGGAAGCAGCAGAGGTAAGAGGTGAATCATCTAACAACCAGAAACAGCAGCAAATCGGGGTTGGGTAGAGGAAGGGTGGTGCTGAGTTATCGTATGTTTTTATTCAGTTCTCATTTGTCACATTTATATTAAGGGTATATTTATGAAGGGTTGAATCTGATTCATAGATGTTATAAGCATGTTACAGACAAGCAATCATTGTTCTAGGATACGGGGCTATAAGCAACCTGTTGCATTGTGCTACAATCTGTAACAATTTATTAACATTTATTAAATTGTCTGTTGATTATTTAACCCTTTATAGACTGAAATATACCCTTTGTATTAAGTGACTGTTTGCGGGAGGGGGGCATCGCAATGGTGATCTTGCTAAAAATATTTGCATCAAATAAAGTGATAGAATATTTAATGCAAGGAAAATGTGCCTTTCATTGCAGGCTAACTACATGGTTGTGCCAGTAATTGCTTCAAATCTCCCTCTAACTGCCCCACTACTTCAAGCCTCTGGCTAAAACGCTGCAGCTGTGCTCATCAGTGCATAGCAGGTACCCAACCTGCTTTGAGGCTTTAACTAATCTAAACCAGCTCCCAAATAAGTGTCTCTTTTCTTGGTGTAAGGAAAAGTTCAGCGCAACCTGGCTGGGTTGCGGTAGCGGCTGCTGTTCTTTGAAGTTCCCCCACCAAGGCTTTCCAGTGGCTGATCTTGAAAGACAAATGCCATTCCCCTCTTCTGGCTGTGGCGCTTCTCAGCACTGCAAAGATAATCGGGCAGCTTTTTAGTCCAGAAGTGACACTGGGATCGGTCAAATCTCAGTTTTAGCTGTCAGTTAAACTTCCAAAATACTCAGGGAGGGAGTGGACTTCACTGTGTTGGTGGTGAGATTTTAACTTCGGTCCCCACCACCACGTCATACCTCCAAGCCATGTGGACCCTTCCCACACATAAACAACTACTCCAGGTTGATCACCTCTTCCATTTTCTGCTAACAATCCACCACTACACAGACATCTGCTGGATTTATTGGGGGTGAAGCTGGTTGGCCTGCAGAGCTTCTCTCCTCACACAGCAAAATTTAGTATTTTATATCCACTCCCACCAGATACTGGTGCACTGCTTCCCCTGCTGGGAAAGTGAGGCTGGAGAAAACAGGATTTGGATTTCCTTTAGAGAGTCTGGATATGTGGGGATTTTTGTCACATTTGCTCCCCACAGTGATTTTTCAGGATTACTGCATGTTGAGGAAGAATTGGATTAGTGCATTCACATACGTCAGAACAGCTGCACATTTTCATCCTTCCCTATAGAGTACTAGGAACTCTGGAGCCTTGCAGATATACACAGACTACCTCACACTGTACATTTATCTCCTGACCAGATAGGATTTGAAATTCCCAAGAGACCCCTCAAAAACCCTCGGAAACGTTCTTGCAAAATATATGGTCTTGCCAATGTGTATGTGCAAGATCCCTGCATTTTTATGCAGTTACCAAAGTTTGAATGCATAAAAACAGGTGTTTTTTGATGTATATGCTCCTTTCAGGAAAAATCATGTGTGATCTTTTTCTTTCAGTAATAGAGGTAGCTAAAAAAGTGGATAAAGTGGTAGCTAAAGAAGCAGGGTCCATAATAGTAGTATGTCCACAAGCTTTTTCTTGTGAGTATAGGTGTTTTTCTAGTTACTTTTCCTTAAACCATTTAGTATATAAAATAGTGTTTGCTCATTTAACCTTATTTGAGGTGACTTACTTCTAGTACATTCATGCTGCCTACATTTCTGCTTGGCTACTTCAGATCTCTTCATTATCCACGTTTCATTTTCACTCTGTACTAACTCGCATTAACTTCCTTCTGCACTTTCTTCAGAAGAGCATTGTGCCAATGCGACCCCAGTGCACTGTTGTGGTATTTATAGGAAACAAAATTTTGTCCCTCAGTATCACCAATTTTATTTTGTGCCAATGGAAAGCCAACCCTCGCATCACACACAAGGAGCCACTAGCTGAATGCATAGTAATTTGCCATCCATATGCAAGGGCGTATTGCTAATAATACTTGTACTGCTGCTTCAGGCTTATGAAAGTTGTCTGCAATTAGCTGAGGCACGTGCTCGCTTTGAGGAGTTTTGCATTCCTATCTGTGTGTTGCCAGCTACTATTAGCAACAATGTGCCAGGCACTGACTTTAGCATTGGTGCTGACACTGCCCTGAATGCTATTGTGGAGGTAAGACTGCATATCCTTTGAACTTTAAACTGTATAATGTCTCTCTTTATTGTGATACTACCAAGACTTTTGAAATGTTTCATTTTCTAGCATAACCTAGTTTTAAAATGTTACACTCCTGTGAGCAGAAGGTAATCAACATTTTTCAGATTGACTGAAAATTAATCAAAATTAAAATTAAATAAACGATGTTAGCTGTTATTTAGCTTTTGTTTTGGTGTTTTTAGATCATAGCATTAGTATAACTATTTCAATGCATTTTTAGAAACTAAGTATGTTTACAATAAAACTAACAACATTTTTGTTGATTAAAATAATTTGCATAGGGCTACTTTGCTATAATTAAGTGCAAGAAAAAAACCCATGCACCTTAAAAAAAGTAAATGACTCAAGGAACGAGCCCATGAGTGAGTAAGATCCCAGTTCAGCAAAACATATAAGCCTAGGTTTGAAGCATGAAACACTTCACTGGGACTAGTCCATATGTTAAGCATATGCTTACATGCTGTGCTGAACTGGGGCCTAATGACTACAACTTAACTATATAACAAGAAATTAATTTTATAGGTTGGATACATCAAAGCTTGGCTGACAGTGGTGTCACTTTCTTGTCATAGAATCCTAGGGCTGGAAGAGACCTCAGGTCATCGAGTCCAGCCCCCTGACCAAAGCAAACAGCACTGAACTACTATTTTATTGCCAAACAGCACTGAATTACTGTTGCTGAACACTATTGTGCATGTTTCCATTTCAATTGCCAAGAATTTGATTTGATGCATGACCAGAGTAATGCACTTTGCACATCATGGAGTGCTCCAGCACCCACTGAAATCGTGGTTCACAGGGATCACACGTTGGATCATTGCTAGCCATGTTCCTATTAGATTCACTTTTACGAATTGTGCTCTGCATTTAGATCAGGAGCAGGTGAGATATAGCCCGTGGTCCAGATCCAGCTGCCCAATCCAGCCCATGGACAGTCCCTCTGGGACCCTTGGGCACAAAGCAGCCCATGCGTTTTAAGCAGTTGGTGGCGCTCTTCTCCAAGGCTACTTCTACACTGGCGTGATCTTGCGCAAAAGCTCTTTAGCAGAAGAAGGGTCCATAATAGTAGTATATCCACTACTTGTGTTAAAGTAGTTGGGCAAGAGAGCGTCTACACTGGCATGTGCTTTTGCGTAAGAGCATCCTTGCCAGTTTGGACGCTCTCTTGCACAAGAAAGCTCTGATGGCCATTTTAACCATAGGGCTTTCTTGCGCAAGAAATTCATGTTGCCTGTCTACACTGGCCTCTTGTGCAACAACAGTTGCGCAAAAGGGCTTATTCCTGAGCAGGAGCATCAGAGTTCTGGCGCAAGAAGCACTGATTTCATACATTAGAACGTCAGTGTAATTGTGCAAGAACTCATGGCCAGGGTAGACAGGCAGCAAGTTTTTGCGCAAGAGTGGCCGCTTTTGCACAAGATCGTGCCAGTGTAGACACAGCCCAAGTGTTGGGGGGAAGGGGAACACTTTGCAGAAACCTGCCCATGGGAGCTGAGAGATTTTGCTGAGGGCGGGGGCAGTGTGTGAAGGCTCCACCTCCTGCAGTGCCTGCAGCAGAGAGCAATGGGGAGTAGACTACCATTTTGAGTAGCCTGGGCCTGTGGCAGGCAGTGAGCCTGCCTCAGGGTCCTGCAGGGCTGCTGGCTGGGAGCCACCTAGGTAAACACCTCCTGGCTACAGTCTGCTTCTGGCACCCTATCCCCTCCTTCCCCCAACTCCCTGTTCCTGGTCACCAACCCCTACTCTCTTGGGTCACAACTCCCTCCCAGAGCCTGAAACCCCTCCTAGATCCCTTCCCCAGGCTATAATCCTCTCCTGCACTCCATTCCCTTGCCCCAGCTCACGACCCCCTCTTCACACAAAGTCCCTCTCAAACCCCATAGTCTCCTGCACTCTGCCGTGAGCTCCCTTCTATACCCAACCGCCATCGCAGACCCTGCATCTCCTCCATAGAAAAGTGCGAGCCTTGACCACTTACCAAAATCTTGGAGTGTCCCCCTCTCCCACCTTAGACAATGTGCAGAACCCTCTTACTCTACAATACAGGTTCCACAGTATCACTTTAAAAATAGACCATTTTTAGTGCATCATTAATGTCTGAAGTTTTTGTCAATGATTTCAGTGAGAACAGGATTTATCCCTTAGTCTCTGCTTCCCATGACATTTCTTCTAGACTCCCACTGTTGTATTGGCACCATTACAACAGTAAAAACATTCAAAATGCTCTGCTACAAGATGTGGCCTATTTTCACCAGTGGCAGCACTAGCAGAATCTAACTGCATACAGCAGGTAACATGGCTGATATCACAGTCTTCAATAGTGAGTCACCTGGCAAAGACTGAAAACGTCTTTCAGAGAAGTGCCAACAATAATAGTTATAAATGGTAGCTGGCCACAGACAAGGTAGAAAATACTGACAGTTGTTGCTTCTATCCCATTGCCTTTTTTTTTTGTCAGGTGCATAGCTTTCAGTAATGCTTCATCCATGTTACAGTTCTAAGTAACAATGAAATGAGCAAAATGTTGCCCAGGCTTGCACACACCTAATTCTGTTAAGTTCTGTGGATTTGCACTCCTGTCTTGGAGTCAGTGTCTTTGGTTGAGGTTGACAGTAGTGTACTGTTGCTCTTGGTGTTTTCTTTGAATACCAGCCTTAGGAGAGGCAGTGTGCTTTATGCTGTGGTAAAAAATGCTCAGAATTTGGCTCCTGAGTTCTAACTCTGCTTCCAACACTGACATTGTATGTGCCATTGGGCAAGTCACTTATCCTCTCTGAGTCTGTCCCCATCAGCACGAGGAAAAGTAGTAATATCTTTGTAAAACACTTTACACATTAGTTTATGCCAACTGAGGATCTGCCTCTCTGAACATTAAGCATTATTCACCAGTACCCTGTGATAGTGCAATCCATACAAATGTTACTTCCCCAAAATAATGTCCTGTATGCCAAGGGAGACCTCAGTCCTGAAAATGCTTATGTTCATCAGTAATTATTTCTGCTCATGAGTTCAGTTATTGATGGTTTTGAAGTGTTTGCAAACTCAGGCCCTTTGTAGGTTTGAAGAAGTCCTGTAATAGGAAGGTAGAAAAAATAAAACTGTTCCCCAGTTTCCTAGATGAATGTGCTATCATGCAGTTAAAAGAGCAGCCTAAGCAAACAGGCATTGTTATCCTTTACTTCACATTCTTCAAAAGATTAATTCAGGAATTTTAACTACTTAGTTCTGCTGGTGGTTATGGTGTATCCATCACAGCCAACAGAAGTTCTATGAATCTCTGACTGTATTAAGAACTAACCAATCCAGACAACTAGGCAGTTAATGGAATGAGATAAACACTGTACAGCAGACTTAGTGGATGGAAATCCAGACATCAACTCCGTAAAAATGTACAAAATGCTCTGCTACAAGAGTTGATCTGTTTCCCCCATGTTTAGTGCCTCAGACTGCAGTTTGCTGTAATGTTCAGATTCTTTATTTGATACCAGATAACTTAGCACCTAAATACTTGTGAGGATGGTATTCTATATCCCTATCATAGATCCAAATTCTGTCCCTGCTAGAACCTTGGGAAACCTATCATTTATTTGTGGTGAAAAACCGTGTGCATATTTTAAGGCCAGAAAGGACCATCACGACCATCTAATCAGACCTCCTGCATAACACAAGCCACAGAACCTGACCCAGTAAGTTCTTTGTCAAACTTCTGACTGAATAATAAGAATCCCTGTGCTGCATCCAGCCGACTGGACAAGACTCTCTCCTCCCTCATCCCTGCTTCACCCCTGAGCAACGTGGCTTGGGAATTACAGTGCAGCAAGGGTTTACCCCTCCTCCCGCTCCTGCACCTTGGTAGTGGGACCCAGAGTAGCCTTATAGCTTGCTTCACTTGGCCCCACCATACTGCCTACCCAGCCCACTGGGACCGGCTTCTCCAGGGCAGCAGGAAGCAAAGCACGCTGGAATGCTCTGCTTCTGCTGCCATGGTGAAGCAGGGTTTAGCAGGTTAGGAGAGGCTCCCACTGCCATGGTGAGTGGGAGGGTGACCCCTGTGCCCGTGCCCCTGCCCCGAGGTAATCCCACGGGATTCTTTCAATAGGACAGTTAGGGTGGCTGCCTTGGGTTCCCAAAAGCGTAGGGCCTGGGGCGACTGCCCCAAACCATCCTATGGACAGAACGGCTCTGTCAGTGGTATTTTGCAGTCAGGCAGTCACCATGCAATGGCACATTCGGAAAGAAGCAGTTTATCATGCCCCAGTCCTCCTGAGAGTGAAAGAATGAGGCCACAGCATGATTGCCAGATCATCCCCATATTAAAATAATAAACCTTTATAAAAAAGTAGACCAGGATTCTCAAATCCAATTAATGATTTGGGGGTCCCTGGAGTATTAGATGTCCAATTTGAGATGATGTGGGCTGGGGTGAGGACAGATTTTAAGAAAGTGTTGAGTTCCCACCTTTTGAATAGCAGGCTCTTTTGGGTTTTAGACAGTCTGGCCTATATATTTTTACGTCCTCAGCAACTACACACAAAAGCAGCTTCTGCTCTCTTGGAATTCACACCTCCAGATCAGCTACTAGAAGTGGGCCTTATCCTCCTTGATTGGATCCACCTCGTCATCTCCGGCCTGATTCTGGCCTGCATATTTATACCTGCCTCTGGAAATTTCCACTATATGCATCTGACGAAGTGGGTCTTTACCCACGAAAGCTTATGCTCCTACTCTTCAGTTAGTTTATAAGGTGCCACAGGACTCCTCACCGCAACTACACACAAAGATTTCTTTAGTAATGTCATAAAAGTATACATGTACTTTCTATGGGTACAGCTAGACTACATGCCTCTGTCACCAGAGGCATGTAGATGGGGGATAGTCTGGACGCGCGGGTGTCGACATCAAAGGTATTTGTCGACCACCCAGGTATGCCTCCTGGGATGAGGTATACCTAGGTGGTCGACAAATACCTTTGATGTCGACACCCGCACGTCCAGACTATCGCGCTTGAGCCGACAAACAGCTGATTAGCTGTTTGTTGGCTCAGTGCGGCAGCCATGTAAATTTAAATGAAGAGGCGATTATTTAAATTGCCGCTTCATTTTCCTATGTCTGGTAGCCTAATCTACATGCCTCTGCTGACAGAGGCATGTAGTCTAGACGTACCCTATGAACTCCCAAGCATTCTGTCTCCAAGAAGTTAGAATTAGTATGACCAGTGAAAGCAGCAGAGGTTACTACAAGTTTGCTATTCATTTCATATTGAGTGCTTCCATGGAGCTGTACTCAGGGAGGAAGAGACTAGGGAACACAACATAGAGAGCATAAGAACCAAGATGGTAGAAAGAGTTTGCCATTGTAATGAACTGTGAAGTGCATGAGCTGTATTAATATGTGGTGTATTTTGTGCTGGAGTTCCTTCTTATTTAGAAGAATAGAGGATAGCGTGTTTATCAATCTATTTGATCATTTGTGGATATACATGTTACAGTTTTGGTAGTTGAACTAAAGTAAATGTATACATAGTTATTAACATTTTAAATGCTATAACATATATGATATTATGTATTTATGACTTTTTAATTGTTTAGGCTTTCCCATTTACCAGTTTAAACAGTATTTGTTTTGTGCTCTGGTAAGTAGGTATTTAATGCAAATATCAGACTACTCATCTGTCTCTATATAGCAGAAAATAAATGGTGCTAAATCTGTATTTGGGGGGGAAAAAATTATTCACAACCAGATTGAAAGAACATCTGATGTAGACCTGCATCCATAGTTACTCATCCAAAACCTCACCAGAGGTCAGAGGGCTGTTTTTATTAGGGCGGTCAATTGACCTGCTTTACTGCCTGCAATTAACACAGAACAGGATTAACATGTTTAAAAAATTAATGCATTAATCACACGCGTTAATGCTGCGCTGCCTCTTTGAAGTGCCACTGTGGCACTTCAAAGGGGCAGCACAACCAGAGCTGGGATCAGCTGGACTGTCTAGCTGATCCCCGGCTCCGCGTTGCAAAGCCCTTTGAAGTGCCACTCTGGCACTTCAAAGTGGAGCTGGGGATCATTCCCCAGCTGATCCCCAGCTTCTAATTCGCTGCCCCTTTAAAGAGCCAAAATGGCACTTGAAGGGGGCAGTGCAAGCGCAGCTGGGGGCTCCAGCTGATCCCAGGCTCCATGAAGTGTTGCCCCATTGAAATGCTGCCATGGCTTTTCAAAGGGGACTTGCATACGCTTAATCGTGAATAAATTTTTTAATCGTGTGATTAACTGCAATTTACTTTGAATAGCTTTACAGACCTAGTTTTTATATTTTCTTCTAAATGCATTGTTAATAAAAGCCAAGAAATTCATGATCTTGCATTTGTCAGATCCTTGCACTCATCTGCTTCCTCTTGATTCAGGTGGACCCACAAACCAGCTTTGCAAAATTCTATTTGCCCCCAAAAGAAAGCTTTTTAATGAGCAATTAACATTTCTCTCCCCTTCCCACCTATTATCTTCATACTAGTAATGTCTGAATGTGTGATATTTTAAAGATGGTTTTGCAAGACAGGTCTGTGCACATGGCTTTCACATGAAGTGAAAATAACTGCCAAAGCTTGGTATATTCTTGAATATCATTTGAGTTTAGGGATGTCTGACAGTTATTTTGCAAATTCTGCTGCTATTTTGGGCTTTTCTTCTTTAGTCCTCTAATCAGAGCTGTCATCTTTTTTAAATTGATTTCGGTGGCAGCTTGTTTAGGCTACTCACAGGCAGCTCTGCTAGAAGTAGCTGTAAATCACCATACCCTGTGCTTCATATAAGCTAACAGATTTCCTCACAGTGAACAACATTTCTTATCTAAGATTTGGTCTGAGGTCAGTCTCCCATAATCATTAAGTGTTTATGGACATGAGACTCTGTTGCTGCCAAGTCATGGAAATTTGAAACCTAGAAACCTAGGACTTCAGCCTCATAAATTCTAATTCTAAAGACCATTTCTTAGGAAGTGTACTTAAAACCCTTCAGTATCAAAGGTGCTTTCTTCAGTCATGTGCACAGTAAATGTAGAGTCTGGCTAAATTTGGTTATAGGCCAGATCAGAAAACAAACCATTATTCTATCTCTATAAAATTCCAATATAACGTTCCTAAAGTTTTTAGAATAAGACTGTTCCATGAGATTAGTTTTTCCGTGAAAACTAATTTTCAGAAAACAAGCTAACACAAGCAAACTTGACATTATCAGGACACCTTATTTTGATGGAAGAAATATTTTCTTCCGGAATTGATAATTGACATAAAAGGGTGCATGTGTTTGACATAATAGTGAGTGTGTATGTGTGTGTGTGTGTGTACACACACACACACACACACACAGTAGTGCAGTTCAGTAATCTTATAATTGTAATAAAGAATCACCCAATATATGTGAAATATCCCTGTTTGCAAAAGTCTCTAATGTTCTGTGCTTTGGTTAGACATTAGCCAATATGGGGGGCCTGGCTGCAGGTGCAGATGCCGCTTATATCTTTGAAGAGAAGTTTGATATTCGAGAGCTCCAGGTATGCAGTCCAACTTTACCCAAATGTCTTGCTCATTTTTATACAAACTTTCACAGCGTTGTACATATTTAGCATTTAATATGTACATTGTCCGGGCATTGTTGATTAGAGTATCTTAAGAGTATCTTAGCCTGCAGCAATAAATGGCTACTTTTAAATGCACGGAGCACCTTTATCCCAGAGAATTGGAATATTTGCCAGTGTTGACGTGTTTTGTAGTAGAACTTGTAGCCACGCACTCCTCATTTCTGGCATCAAGCACAGAATGATGAAGGCTAAAAATCTGAACATGCACCATTAAGTAAAACAATTACATATTTATTATTTTGCAATCTGTTTATTAATACATAGTAAATGGATGGAGCTGGGCAAAATGAACAGGCAAATGAAAATAAAAGGATAACAAGGAAATCATTTTTCACACAGTGGGCACATCTAAATTACGTTCCTCTTCCGAAAGAGGAATGTAAATGAGCCCGATCAAAAATGCAAATTAAGCCCACATTTACAAATCTCGTGCTTCATTTTCATAATCATGTGCGAGCACTTTTTCAAAAAAGGAACCGCAGTCTGGACAGAAAAAATGAGTATGGGTTCTTTCAAAAAAGGGTTGGTTTTTTTCCCAAAAGAACCCCATCTAGACTGTAGTTTCTTTTTCGAAAAAGAGCTCTTGTGCAATTATGTAAATGAAGCATGAGATTTGTAAACTTTGTTTCATTTGCATTTTTATGGGGCTCATTTAAATTCCTCTTTGGAAGAAGAACGTAGTTTAGACATAGCCAATGTGTGCCGAAACTGTGGAACTCTTTGCCATAGGAAGGCTGCTCTGGCAGCCGTGCTGGCTGATTTTTCCTGGCACGGGGGCTGTTCACTCCCTCTGGGGCATCAGGTATTGGCCATCGTCAGAAGACGGAATACTGGGCTAGATGGATCTTTGGTCTGACCCAGTATGGCCGCTCTTAAGTTATTATTCTAGAAGGCATTTCAAAGTACTATTGTGAACCTGAACTCCTTAATGGAAATTATCTTTGTGAAGGTGGATAACTGTTGAGTTATCACATTTGTTTTAGGATGCTTTGTGTGACTCTGTTTGTAGGCTAATGTGGAGCATTTGACTGAAAAGATGAAAACCAGCATCCAGCGTGGTCTTGTGCTAAGGTGAGCCAAAGATCCTTTATTTAAACTATATCATCTAAATGAGTAATATTTCACAATCCTTACTGCTATTTTAAACCTTTGATTGATGTATATAGAAGGAGGGATTCTAAGAAAAAGCAGAGCTGAGAAGCAGATATAAAAACTGTTAAAAGCAAAGATCACACGCCCATTCCCATTTTAACTCTTAGCAGCCTGTTAATGATTTGGATATTTAGATTAAAAGTATTATAAGGAGGCTGCTCAAAGGTCTCATTGTTTTTATTTACTAAGGTGAATAAAAGGTGAATAATAGGGTGACATTCCCCTACGCAGAAGGCCAGAACAAGGCCGATGTCCCGTTTAGCCCTTGGAATACATAGTAAGTGCCACACGGGTCCCATCCTGTCCCTCTGCAAATGGGTGAATTTCACCCTCATTTCTTCGACTACACGTCCCATTGGAGACAATTGCAAGCTAAGCCTGAAGCCACTGAATAAAAGTTTCCTGTGTGTCAATTGCAAGTTGATTAGCTGCCCCCCTGCTTTAATCATAGTGCCCTGTGATGATGGTTTTGAACTATTTGTTTGCCCCTTAGGGCAGATTCTGGTCTCCATTCATTGAATGGAAACTTGGTCTCCCTTCATTTTATTACACCGCTTCTCAAAACCTCAGGTCAAGGCCCACCTCTGCAAGTAGAACCTCAAGAAGGTTCAGTTACTGCAGGAGTGGGCAATAAAAAAAAGGCAACCTGCTAGGGTTAGCCCTTGGTGAGCTACCACTGCTATGTTTACCTGTGCCTCTGCAGGTATCAGGTGAGCACAGCTCTGGTTGGTCGCAAATTGGTGGTGGGAAGCAATGTGGACCAGGACACCACTCCCATTGGCTACAAACAGCAGTCCACGGTCAAGGAGAGCTGTGATCACCTGATAGCTGCAGATACACAAGTAAATATAAAGGTGGTGACCCATGACGTATTAATGCTGTGGACTGGATCCAGCCCATGGGCCAGATTTTGCCCACCCCTGAGTTACTGTCTTGAAGATTAGCCCTTTTGAACTCTTCCACACATGAACACAACCGATCACAGTTCTGAAGCTGCAAGCAAAGCCCATAAATAACTCATGAGACATTAGTTATCAAGTACTGGACATTTTGTGACAAAAATGGTGCTAAAGTGTGTTAAGCAATTGCTGATCAGCATGGCATTATAAATTCTCATATGTTCCCACCATATATCTAGTCTGAAGTCCAGAGTTTCCATGGTGGGAACATATGAGAATTTATAATATCTAATCTGAAGTCCAGAGTTTCTATCATTTCTTCTGCAAATATTATGGTTTAAGCTCTGATACTGGAGCAAGTGTGCTCTTTAGCCCAGCAAAACTGTTTCTCCTTGGCCAGATCTTTCCTAGGAAAAATGGAGGCTATGTCTACACTGCCCCCTTTTGCGCAAAAATATGCAAATGAGGCAAAGCGTGGAATATCGCTGTGCCTCATTTGTATAATTAATTAGGCTCCGTTTCTGCACAAAACCCCCCTCTTCCGCAAGAGCCATTCTTCCTGAAAAAGAGAGGAAAAACGGCTCGTGCAAAAACAGAGCTGCATTAATTATGCAAATGAGGCATGGCGATATTTCACGCTTTGCCTCATTTGCATATTTTTTGCACAAGAGGGGGCAGTGTAGACATAGCCAATGTGTTTTAAAATATGTCCATTAATGTCCCATGTCAAAATCCTAGTGTTGATAAGGCTGACAAAGGTTCAAAATTCAAATTGTCTTGTCTGCAAAGGCCTCTAACAAATTACTTAACATGTTTTAAAATCACACCTTTCATCCTAGTGTACACTGCCTTTGTCAGTCTGTGACCTCCACCTCTTTCATGGGCATCTCTTTTCAGCATGCATGGAGATAAACAGTTATAGAAAGAAGTCACCAAATGTATTCACCTATGCACTTCCAGTATACTGAGATATTAAAAAGAGGTGAGGGGGCAGCCTCACGTTTGTACAGCATAGAACATTGGCTGTGTGTCGGAGAAGAGGTTATAGTTCAGCAGCTCCTACGATCTCTGTAGTAACACAGCGGGCCCAGTTCTTGCGCAAAAACTTGCAAAGTGTCTACACTGCACGCGCGTTCTTGCGCAAGTAAATTTACAGTAAAGCGTCGGAAAAGAGGGCTTCTTGCGCAAGAGTTATTCCTCTCCCCATGAGGAATAAGCCCTCTTGCGCAATAAACCCCTATGGCTAAAATGGCCATCAGAGCTTTCTTAAGCAAGAGACTGTCCACTCTGCCATGGATGCGCAAAAGCATAACTCTTGTGCAAAAAGCACATGGCAGTATGGATGCACCCTTGCACAAAACAGTTCTTCCGCAAGAACCCTGCAGTGTAGATGTAGCCTCAAAGTATTGATTTGTGGAGGAGCAGAGACTCAACTATGTGCAAACCAAATCTGTGGGAGAGTTGGAGCGGAAGAAGGAAGATGAAAATACAAAACCCATGCCACTCATTTGCAGGCGAGAAGATAAGAGTTGTCACTTGTGGGACATGTCTTCTCCCTCAGTGGCTGTGCCTCTGTGAAGAGGTCTGGAAGTTAAATCTGGTTTTCAACGGGCTTGTGTGTTGTTGGGGTTTTTTGTTTGTTTTGTTATAGGAATGAGAACAGCAATGAGAACTACACAACTGACTTTATCTACCAGTTATATTCTGAGGAAGGAAAAGGCGTGTTTGACTGCAGAAAGAATGTACTGGGCCACATGCAGCAGGTAAATAAGGCTATGGACTTCCTTCTGTATACAGCAGTAAGGTTAATTTGGTGTGTGCAAACTGCCAGCATCATTGCAGGACTAGGCTCAAGTCGTCCTTCCTGCATGCACTTTGTACTCTTTCCAGATGCGGCCCCTGGCTTGCCTGGATCCATTCCCTGTGACTCACCCTCTTACCCCCCTCTCCCGTGACTCTGCTGCAGGGCTGGAGCATGCAAAATCTCATTTGTGCACAGCTCCCAACTGATTTGTCTGTGGGTCGGCAGGCCCCAACCCAAAAAATGTTCCCCACCCCTGCTTTACACAGAATGAATAGCAACAAGGGTTTCTTTCATTGTTACCATCAACTCTCAACCCCGTTTGTTGTTTGTTTGTTTGTTTGGGGGAGGGGCAGTTTTGCAGAAGGAAATTGCTGCAAATTCCCTCTTTTATTGTGTCACCTTTTTTGTTCTCCCATCTCTGTTTTTTAAAGATAGGTGCTGTTGTTTTCCAATAGCCCACTCATTGATTTCTACAAAACCTCCCTGCAGCTGCCAGTGCAGGAGCCTCTCACTCCTAAAAGAGAGATTTTGTTCCTAGAGAACTTTTGTGCTCATTTTTCACTTCCCCCTTTTGGAGAAGAGGGAAAATTGCCATCCTATTAATGACAATCAGGAAACTTACAATGGGAAGGAGGGCAGGTCTAGGGGAAATAACTGAATCTGTTGGTTCATACGAGCCATCAAGTTTTTATTAAAAAAATCACATTTTCCCTTTGAAGTCTTAAAGCAACCAGTGCCAGAATTATACCACAGCTTCCTTGCCTTGCATCTAAGCACATTAGCTATTTGAATATTGACACTGTTGCTGCTTGGCTCGTTTGTATTTAGAATTAAAAGTAAATGCACCCAAAACACACTATACATAGAATGACAGTAGAATCTGCTTTCACATAAGGAGCATAAAGTTAGATCCAGTTAAGAGCCCTGTTTTGTCAGCTGGAATAAAAGCTAGTAAGTAACTGTACCTTTTTTATTTTGTCAAGTCCTACAGTCCCAGAATTCTAAATCCTCTGTGTCTGTTTGGTAACAGTGTTATAAATGCACCCACCTAGTAGCTACTGGCTGATAGAGCTCTTTGATTATAACCTCCACCTTTTACAGCCCCCTGAAGCATTGGTCAGACCTGTTTGCTCCTTCAATAGCTCTCTATTCTGTACTTTGCTTCTTTGTGTATTACTTTTCTGGCTCTCTCCCTATTACTGGAAGGGGCAGTGTGCCATGCTGCTCCAGTAGTGAACATTGGTCAGGCAATATTCAATCGGAGTCCTTGCAAAAGTAAGGTAGAAAATCCATGCAAATAAGCACTCTGCTGAAGAGGGGTAACTAAGTCTCATGGACTTTTAATGGGAATTGAGCCTGTCCTTATGTGCGCATCATAGAACCAGAGCTAGTATCTCAAACTGTCTGGGTAAAGTCCCTTTGAGACTCCCATATTGGGAATTTTGGGGCTAAGACAAGCAATAGTATGTTTAAAAACAATGGAGAGGTGAAGGAAGATGAGAGGAACAACAGTCATAGTACAGAGATGACTACTGGAACAGAAAGACAAGAATGCTCCTGGTTGGTGCGGAATTGCAACTAATCTCCAATTACATATTACATTTTGGCAGGGTGGAGCACCTTCCCCATTTGACAGGAACTTTGGGACAAAAATCTCTGCAAAAGCAGTACAATGGATCTCCAAGAAACTGAGAGAAACCTACCGCAAAGGTGCAGAAAAAATTATGGCTGTTTACCGTTTTTGTGTGTGTATGTTAACACTAGAAAAACCAGCCTGTCTATTGGTTCAAGATGTTTGTGGAGTCTTTCAATTCAGTAATGGACTACTTGTGTAGTGTTTGTGGTTGTAATGTTATTCTTGCAGTCTTATCAATTTACCTGGGCTTTGTCAGAGTATTGTTATCGAGAAACACAATACCAGTGACAAAAAATGACTCCTGAAGATATTTTGATACTGTAAACAAGGAGTTTCACTGCATCTGTTATGATTTGCTAGGATAACTAGTTTTTATGCAATTAGAAATTGATAGTTTTATAGTAACATATATTCTTTTTGGTTTCGTTTCTTGGTGGCTGCATGGGACACAGAAGAAGGTAATATGTCTTCTTTAGGATTTATTTCTTCAGCTTCATGAAGCAATATTTACTGTAATCTAATTTTAAACTGAAAGTTAAGGTTGTATCACTTATTTGATGATTAATTAAATACATTGCATCTTTACTGCTCAATCATTAAAACTAATAAACCACAAAAGAGAGGATGTTTCCCTAACACTGTTAAAAAACTAATTCAGATGCTATCATTGTTTACTTTGACTTAAGTAACTCAACAAAATTACAAATCTTGCTATAAACTCCACTCCTAGTTCTATTGGTTCATTACAAGAAAAGGATCATTCTCCCTCAGAAAAATAACATTTTCTTTTTTATTTTTATAGGAAAAGTGTTTGCCAACACTGATGACACAGTTTGTTTGCTAGGAATGCGCAGACGCAATCTTCTTTTCCAACCTGTGGTTGAGCTTAAGGGTGAAGCAGATTTTGAGTAAGTGAAGAAAGCTTGGTGGGGCCAAGTGTACAACATACAAGCCTTCTTTCACCTCCATTCTTCCCTGCTCCTCTTCAAATAAACTTCACCAATAGCCTGAACCTTTCAGCATAGCCTGAACCTTTCAGCATCACACTAGGCCCATGATGGTGGCCATAGAACATGCCCTTATCTGCTTATCCCTCAAGCAATTTCATGCTTTCTCCACACTACCCTCTTTGCCTGAGAACAGCTCCCTGTGAGAATTCAAAATTACTACTGTGTCCTCTTAGATCCCTCCTCACAACCTGTCTTTTTCGCAATGCCTCCATCACAATGCCTCCAAATGGCTATCTGATACTGTTTAGGCCTAGGACTACGACATCTAATTTATGCATACTCAGACACCTCTATTAGCATCTTGTGTCCCTAACCCTCTCACATTTTTATTAACCTGCTGCATTTTGTCTAATTGTTAACTTGAGCTCTCTGGAGTAGAGAGAGTCTTTGTACAATGAGGTCCTTATGTGTTGCCACACAGAAATAGTAAATTGTGTCTGAGCTGGCTTATCTGGAAGGTTTATCTGGCAACATAGCAAAATGGGGAGGAGATGGAATTCATGCATGTTATAAGGCAATTTGAAGTATAGGAAAGAAGTAAAGAATATAATTTACTGTGTGCCACAACCCCTCTTCCCCAAAATGTTAGAAAATGCTTTTTCTATGGTCCTATCTGGTCAGGTCTACATTTACCCAAGATTGAAACTCCAGAGATCAATCTTTCAGGGTTTGATTTAGCAGTCTTTTCAACCACTGATACTCCACAGGGGGTCATGAGTAGTAAAGGAAGTAGACGGAAGAGTTTCTCCAGGCAGTCTGGATGCTCTCTCTCAAAAAAGCACAGTTTGCATTACATAGTGCCTTTTTTCAAAAGAGCACTTTCAAAAAAAGGAGTTATTCCTTGTAAAACGAGGTTTTCCGTGGTTGAAAAAACTGCCGTGTTCTTTCAAGAACACAGCAGCAGTCTAGATGCAAGGGAAGTTTTTTTGAAAAAAGGCCACTTTTTTTAAAAAAAAACCTGTAGTCTAGACATACCCTAAGTGAAGACCTGGCCTCAGTGAGTAGATGGCATTATTACTCACAAAAGGAACCTCAAGATCAATGGTTTAAGTTGGTCATTAAGAACTACTTTAACCTTAATTGTGAATTTGGACTTTAGGGATACCAGCAGTGGGGTGATTTACACAGAATAGCTTTGACCTTTCCCCCCTCCCCGTCTTCTGCACAGGCACAGAATTCCCAAGGAACAGTGGTGGCTGAAACTTCGACCTCTGATGAAAATTCTAGCCAAATACAAGACCAGCTATGACGTTTCAGATTCAGGTCAACTAGAGCATGTAGCTAGGCACAGCCCCAAAGAAATGGAAACTGGAGCCATCTAAGAAGAGACCATCATTTTAGATAAAGTTGTAATAGACCTACCTTGTGCGTAACAATGCTTTAGAATATTGATTACAGCTTTGTTTGTAACATTTAAATTATTGTACCAGCACTTTATGTGAATTCAGAAATGCAGATGTCACGCACATTTCTTGCCCAGTGTTATCGTAGGTTTAAAGCAGATCCTAGCACCTAACTTACAAAATACCAATTACCGGCCTGATCCTTACATTTAACACAATTCTATGCACTCAGAGTGATATGTCATTCATCTAGCGCACTTTATCTCAGAGATAGTGTCTATATTCAGAATATATGTAGAAGGCTAGTTTTGTGTCATGTTACAGAGTGAATTTATGTATCCAAAGTGAAATAAAAGTACTGTTGCAAACCATCTGTGTGTCTTCAAGTTATCAGCTGCATTCATTAGTTTTTAGGCAACAGGTGACCATCTCTGTAGAAAGTAGAAGCAGCTTTTATTTGCATTCTAAAAGGAAGCAAATAACTGCTCCGTCGCTTGTAGGAGGGAGCAGGAAATGAGTGCAGGGCGCATCTGCATATTTTTCTGTGCTGCATCTTCACAATGAAGTTGCATTAATTTGAACTATCCCACATACTTCCCCCACAGAGGAAGTAAAACACTAAAAACTACTATTAAAGGCAACACTAAACCTGCAAAGATAGCTGTTAACCTCTTCTAGGTTTCCTTTAGGCTATGGCTACATGGCAGCTGGGAGATAGGATTCCTAGCTACTGTTTGCTTGACCCAAGCTAGTATGCTCAAAATAGCAGCATGGCCACAGTGGAATGGCTGGTGGCTCAAGCTACCCACCCACGTATGATTCTGCCCAATTCTCTGGTATGTACTCAGCTAGCCGAAACCATCATGGCAATATTCCTTTTTAAGGTAAATCTGCCTGGGGATTACCCCTTTCAAGCTGCTGTGCAGATGTACCCTTAGGTAAATCTACACTGTAGCAGGCAGCGTGTCCCCCATAATGGACAGAGACGCTTATTTGCTTCATATGATCCATCACACTAAAAATAGGTTCAGAGGGGGTAGCCGAGTTAGTCTAACAGGAAAAACTTTAAACACAACAAATAGTCTAGTAGTACCTTAAAGACTAAAAAAACATGTAGATGGTATCACGAGCTTTCGTGGGCACAACCCACTTTAGATGACAGGAGTGTTGGAAGTCCAGATCAAAGAATAAATAAGGGAAGGAGGGGAGAAGGAAAAAAAATGGAGGGAAGGAAGAAGAGACAGTGAAGCAGATAAGCTTCAGAGGGATAGCCGAGTTACAGACTAACAGGAAAAACTGGAAAAAAAAAATGAACTAAAAATAGGGTAGTTACAGCTGCTCTGGAAGAAGTTCATGCTAGCTACCTGCAACGTTCACTCTTCATCTTGCATGCTAGCTAAAGTGAAGCAAGTCTGTCTACCCATGCTAAGAAGCTCGTTCCAACCAGCAGTGCAGACATACCTATGGAGGCTATGCTAACTAACCCTTAATTACACCCAGGACTATTTTCAGTCATCAAATGAAACATCTGTGATAACTGGATATAACCACAATGGGTAAGTTACGTTGACACAGCAGTTTTTTCTCCACAAGACAGTTGTGGCTGTCTCACAGCATTTAGCTGTAAGAAGAAAACAGCAGCCCAAGAATTCCATTTACTACTGGGAGAAAGAATGACCGGCCCAATGTCACAGGTAGACGCTGCATCAAAATAGCTGTGTTATAAATTATTAAACCCCATTTTCATCCTCCTGCAGCTGTTATTAGCCATGAGTTGAACTTGATCCAACACTGCTACTCTATCATTAACAATGTAAGTGGCAATATAGGCAGAATACAATGTAGCAATAAAAGTTATGGACAAACCGAGTTTTATACAACTTAATAATGCATAATTCACTACACTAGGAAAGACAAAGTACCATTATAGGTGTAATAAACCTATTTTATGTCCAATAGTGGAGGTTTAAAAATACAGATATTGTAAGACAACATGATTTAAGCTAAACACATTTTAAAATTCAAGTGTTTGGCTTTTAAAAATAATTTTGTATATTTAGAAGTTAACTACTACTGTGGCCTAAAAATATGGATTTTAGTATTCATGGTGTAACTGAAGATTTGGTTCAGTCAGAGATGGACTAATAGTTTTCATTCTTAAATACAATGCAGTTATAGATACGAACTTTCAGCAGAGAATTTCTTTGAGGAAAGACAGATGAACTGTGCATGTGGAGTATAGATGTTGTAATGACCTTTGGCTTGGAGTTTAACAGAAAAATTAAAAATTCTGATGTGCCTTAGTCACTTATGAATTGGCTTGTTTTATTTCTTTTAAGCCATTTTCAATAACAAGGGCTATCAGTGATAACAAATGTTATCGTTTGACCCAGGATGGATCTTTGGCAATGTGTGGATTCTCTGGACCTAGTACAGCCAGTCCTCGCGTGCTCTTCCCGCCTGCAAGGTATCTGCAAGAGAGACAAATTATGTTGACATGTAACATTATACTCAATCTGATAGCAGCCTAACATGTTCGGACAAAACCCTTCACCTTCTGAATTAAAGCTTTTCATATATATATGCAAAAAGGCCATGATGCTAATAAATAAAAATGTGAGTGGCATGTATCATACAAGTAGAATAGTGAAAAACTGAGAAGACCGATCATATTGGTTTCTCCCCCCTTTACTGCATCCCCCGTGGCTGAAAATCATACTATGCATATTGGAGGAGAGTAAAATGTACCTTAGACGTTAAGGGAGAAAACAGATACACAATGTCAAGTGTTCATAGGGCAACATTGTACCAATATGCCTACTTCTAAAACTGATGGGTTTGAGCTACTCAACTTTTGTTTTGAAATATCTGAAAAACATCTCTTTCTCCCATAGTTTGACACGTCTTCATATTTTTCAGTTGTGATGACAATAGGTGGGCAATGTCAGGTTTATCTGACATACTCTACCACCTCTTTTGCCCATGTGAGTGGATCTTTCCATTTCTCTCAGGCTGAACTCTACCTCACTTCAGCCCAGACAAAGAATAAATGGTTACTGACTGAGAGTCTTTGAAACCCTATAACAGTGGTAGGTAGCCTGTGGCAGGAAGCAGCACAGGTTGCAGGGACGTGCTTAACGTCATTTCCTGCAGCTCCCATTGGCCAGGATTGGCAAACCATGGCCACTGGGAGCTAAAGAGGGGGTGGGGGGCATACCTACAGATGGGAAATGTAAGCAAACTGTCTATGGCCTGTAACCAGCTTATCCTGATGGGCCATTTGCAGCCCACAGGTCACTGGTTGCCCACCTTTGCCCTTTCATCCTGATGTTGCTCTCCAACCCCATGTGGGACAACTAACAATCTTTTAGAGGGACTTTCTATTTCTATGAATAAGAATGAGACTCACAATTAGAATGCATAGGATAAAAAGGTCAGAGAGGGTGTGAGCCAGACTGTGATTAAACAATACTAGAAGAAACTCCTCCATGATGCATACTTGCTCAGCAGGTATTCAGAGAAAGGTGCAAATCTCTAAAACAGAAACTTCTGGTAGAGACCTCTACATCCTGGAGACAAGATTCCAATCCTGGTGGCCCATATGCAGATGTAATATATAATTCAGTATGGTTTAGTATATAATTTGGACTAGAGGTTCTCAACCAAGGGTACATGTACCCCTAAAGGATACACAGAGGCCTTCCAGGTACTACATCAATTCATCTAGATATTTGCCTAGTTTTACCACAGGCTACAAAAAACCACTAGCGAAATCAGTACAAGCTAAAATTTCATACAGTGACTTGTCTATGCTGCTCCATATAATATACACGCATATATAAGTACAATATTTATATTCCAATTTATATTTTATATAGTAAAAATTAGGAAGTTAAGCAATTTTTTCAGTGTGAATGTGCTGTGATATATGTATTTTTATATCCCATTTTGTAAGCAACAATTTTTAAGTGAACTGTAACTTGGGGGTACACAATTCAAATCAGACTCCTGAAAGAGAGATGACAATCTGGAAAGTTTGAGAAACAGATTTAGACATCTATAAGCAGGCAAAAAATGGTAAAATAGAGTCTAGACATGCAAATTCATCTCCATAGATCAATCTGGAGCCATCTTGTTTGAGATGAAATAATACAATTTCTGATCCAGTCAAAACAGCAATCTCAGGCTAATTAAGAGATCAAAGAGGCTCACAAACAAAATGCTGACTAAAAAGCTAAATGGTGATACTCCTTTTACAGGCATGATGATGTTATGGCAGCAGGTACAAAAAATACTTTGCAATCATACAGGCCATGAGAAACTGGTGGGTTTCTCAAACCTTTATCAGCTATTTTGGATTTTAATTTGGGTTTAATTTTCATTTCTAAAAAGAGCACAAACTCACTTGTTTGCTACATCAACCAGATGATCATGGCTGACAGCAAAAAGCTGTTCCCTGTGTTTCTGCTTCATCTCATCTGAGATACCATTCAAGAAATGATTCATTCCTAAAAGTAAAAAGGTGAATTGGTAAGTGTACTCAGTCTTAAACATTGAAGGATAAAAATAATATACATGCATACAGTACCTCAAAGCAGGATAGGCTGTGAGAGAATTAATAATGCTAGTTAACATGGTCACAATTCTAGGCTTGTCAAAAAAGTAAAAACTCTTAATTGTTAACCAGTGCCAAGACTAGAGCTGGGCAGAGAATGTATGTTCCATTTTGTGGAAGATTTAAAAAACCATTTTGACAAAATTATGAGTTAAAATCAAAACTTTCTATCACAAAAATGCAAGAAACAAAAAAACAAAAACAACCTCCCTCCCCCAAATAAAAAAGGTATTTTAAATCTATATTTGTTTCAAAAGTGTCAAATTGGGACATATTGATAGAGTCAGAACTTCTTCTCTTTTTTTCCCCCAAAACAGAATTTTGGTGAACCCGGGAAGGTTTCATGAAGGTTTTGATTTCAACAACCACTGTTATCCAAAGGAAAGTTGTTCTGTCAAAGTTTTGCAACCAGCTCTAGTCAATGCAGCTAAGGCAAAGATGTGACCCCTCTTTTTCCTCTGTGTACGGTCTACATAATTCTGCAAACAAATGCTTCCATATACTCATAAGAAATCCTGTAATAGAGATACCTGACATACAGAAATCATTTCAGCGATCATAGGTTCAAAATAATCACAGGTGGACCTGATGCTGCAACTTATGACCCAATACAGGGAACATTAAGGGATAACCATATACTTATGGCTCTACAGTCTCTTCTCCCATTCTAGCTACTAAGAGAGATTTGATGGGTAGTTTTTTTTTCCTTTCCTCTAAATTCCATCTTACTGATGGAGCTGGAAGGGAGCCTCATTCATTTCCTCCCTCCTTAGGAACATGCTAATTTCAGCACTTCATTAGCTTTGCCTGACACCAGTTAGACTAGCATGAACAACTCCAGAATAACCTCTGCACTGCACAGAATGCCAAGCAGGTCAAGCATCAAAGGATGAGAATCACCATCCTCTAACAAGCTACCAGCATGTTGCTCATATATGAGCACCTGACAACTGGCAGTGCCTACCTAGACTTATCTCACTGTCCAACCTGACTTAAAAAAAGGACATGAAGTGGAGAAAAGTAAACAATTTTTGAAGTTCTCTCATTTAATAAGCTAATGGCCTTACTTATAATAGCCCTCTACAAACACACTTTGATTTTTAACTTTAGTGTGCCTTTATTTATATGTAAGAGGTCGAGTAGGTGCCTTAATTTTAAGTTTTAGTTTGGATTTATTCAGTGGGGAGAGCTGTTTTCTCAAACTACAGACTATTCTGAACTGTGTTTTAAAATGTTCTAAAAGGAAAATATGAACAAGCTACAATTCATCATGACACCCAAATATGCAGCTAATTTTACTTTGTACTTTTCTTCAAGAATCTCCAAAGTGATAAAACAACTTTATGTTTGCCTCAGCTCTAAACACAGATAAACTGAAGCAGAGAGGTTAAGCAAATTCAGAACCAACGTGCTCACCTGGAAAATGTATGGATTACATACTTATTTTTGCCAAGTATTCCATTTAACCAATAGACCTATTTAACTAACAGATCAAGAGTTTTCCTATATGCTAGAACAGGTGTAATTTTTTTTTAGACTGAGAAAATATATGATCTTTAAGGTTAGCAGTAGCAGCACGCTGTTTAATAGAAATTGAAATCATTATGTTAAAATCCAATGAAGACAAACATGAACTTGTGAAAGGAATTAGATGAATCATTCACTTTCTCCCAAACGAGCAAATATTTAATTCCCACGCTGGGGGAATAAGAAGACAGAACATACCTTTGTCTGAAGGAGCTATAGGAGCATCCACAGCTGCAAAGACAGCAAGCTTGGCTTCGTCAATGTCTTGCTGTATGAATTCTCCAGACTGAGCCCATTCCGCTGCTTTTTCAAATGTTGAAAAAGTGGATACAGAATTTGGATCCCTAACAAATCAGAAGGAATTACTTCTGTATTGCAGATCTTCCTGTGCAATGATTAATACAACTATTTTTTTAAAAAACCTGACTTTCATTCAAAGACATCTAATCACGTACCAAGTTCTGTGAGTGGCATCTAGACCACACATGAGTGTATACACTCCCCATATCAGATGAAGGCAGCTGCACACTACACAATAGTTTGAGATATGGAATATTTTATTCAACAGATGTTTCAACAGATTATTAGTATGCAGAGTGGGCCACATTCAGTAGTGATTAAAATAGTTTAAGCTGGTTATGAAAAAGTCCAGGTGATAAATAATTAACTTGCAGAGATGTGGCATTCAGCAGATATGCAAAACAAAAATCTATCATATGAAAAAAAGGGATATATGATATGATATTATTTGGAGACCCAATGTAGTGTCTGGCCTAAGCAGATTTAACTCTTACTAATGTCAATATCAGTTATGCTTGCTTATCCCAATGAGGAGTTTAGTCCATGAGTTCTGGGGATCGCGTAGCATAAAGTGGGATTGGGCAGATCTTCACCTTCCTGTAAAACTGCTTTTTCCCCCTCACTACACCCACTCTCTGGGCCTCAGCATGTTACACCCATTTTGCAAACCTATTAACGTCCAAATTGGTGAAATTACACTACATTGTAACAACTGCTGCATGGCTGACACAAATGTGTAGAACACTACTAAATTTAGCTCACAGGATGATAGGCTGCATTTGACCCAGAATAATTACTTAATTAGGCTAGGACAGTGGGCAGAGACCCCATCTCTGGCAAAGAGTCATGGAGTTAATAAACACTTAGTTAGGATCTCTGTTTCAAGTCTAAGAAGAATAGCAGAATCTTCAGTAGTAACATGTCTCATAAGACCAGACTGGAGCAATTGTTCAGGGTTAACATAAGGAAAAAGTAGAATCTATTCCGGTGGTGGGCCGCATGCGCCCTTTGGGGTTCTCTATATGGCCCACATGGTATTTTGTTTACCACTGTTCATATAACAAGGTTGTGCCGGATTCCACTGGTTTACGTCCATGTCATTTTTTTCCTATCAGTAATTCTAAAGTATCACACACATAAAGCAAGGGCATGTGAGGTGAAGTGCATGCTAATTGCAAACACTGACTGTGAAAGCCATGTGCTCCCTCTGCATCTAATCAAAGCGCTATTACAGTTCAGTCGGCACACCCTACAAGAATGTACGCAAGCGCAATTAGCAAAACTACCCTTTTACCGGAAACCATCTTGATTAAGACACTCTTGTGGCCTAATCACTAGCTTTGGCTGCCCATTTCTGATCTATTCAGTCACCAGCATCACTTTCTGCTCCTGGGGGGGGTCTTTCTCCCCTTCTCCCCAGTAGTACACTCCACCCCACATGCAAGCATAACTGGTACCACTGGGTAGAGGAGAGGCAAGAGCTTTTGGGAGAAGCCAGTTGAGGATCTACATGCCAGAAACCCCAATAACTCCCACAATTACTATTCTTAAAATTTCTCTGTTTCCCCTCTTCTGCTTCTCCCATGCCTAACACCAGGCCAGAAAGAAACAAGCTGAAGATGGCATACAATTGAGAAGATGGCATACAACTGACACATTAGCTCTCTCTCTCTCACTCAATAAGGGGATGGCTCTGGGGGGACCAGGGAGAAGGTGAGAAAGCCAGGAGCCAAATGACAGATCTCAGTGATGTCAGTACTAAGCCACTTCTTTCTCATCGCTATTACTGCCTCACTTCCTTGTGCTATTCATTTACAGTTTGGCAGGGGAAGTTAAATAAAATCCAAAATGATGGCTGCATTTGCACAGAGTGACAATGGCAACATTTAATATACATACACACTCTACAGAGGGCACACATTGTTACCTGTAAGAATAGAAAGTGAATATTCCATTATGACTGAGTATAGCTCCTCCTCCATAAGCACCGCCTTTCTCTCTAATTTCCCTATGCAAGAACTTGGCTGTCATCAACCGTGCAAGGATCCGAAGGCTGAAATGAAAGAGATCAAAGTAGAGATATCAAATCTGCTCCATGGGGTTTGGTATCAAACCTACCCTCAAAGTTTTGCAAAGATCTAAGTTATACGTATGAAGTATTCCTAACAGCACTGTATACTAACAATGATGATTAAAGCACAAAATAGAAGAAAATGAAACTCAATAATTCTCTTGACTTCTGCATACTAGAACAGTACTACCATAACTGCTCCCTAACTTTCCTATATTGTTTAAATTTCATTTCTCTCCTGTAAAATTCTCTAGGCCTGCTATTTTGTCACATGCCATATCATCACACATTCAAAGACACAGGATCAGAGCACATAGAGTTATCTCTTGTTGGGAATTAGAATTTGACACATTGTTAGTATTTGGGGACTAAATGCAATTGAACT